TATATATATATATATATATATATTATATATATATATATTTATAAATATAAATTTAAATTTATTTATTTAAAATCATATTTATTTTATATATTTATAATAATATTTATTTTAATAAATTCCTATATGTAATTAATGAATGCCTTAAATTTAATATATATATATATAAACAAAATCATAGTTTTCAAAAATTATTATTTTTTTTAAAAAATGATTTATATAATTTATTAATTAATATAAATTTAAAATTTTATTTAGATAAATATAAAAATTAAATATTATTTATTAATAAGTTCTTTACAAAAAATTTTATAAAAAATGTAAATTTTTAAATTTTTACATATTTAAATTTTTATAAACTATAATATATAAATTTTAAAATAACTATATACAATAAATTTTGAAAAAAATATAACTAATATTTATTAATATATAAGATAATTATTATAAACTTTATTGGAATTTTCAACAATAACAATTTAAATATTAATTTTTATTTTAATTTTAATTAGTTTAGTTTTACTTTAAATATATATTAGTTTCTATATTTTATTTTGTATTTAAATCAATTTTAGATATTTCTATTAAAATAAAAAAAATATTAATTATTAAAAAAAAAAAAAAAAAAAAATTTGAAAACTTCTTTATAATAATGTGAAATTGAAACGAAATGTTTAATTTTAATATTTTTATTTTTAATAAAAAAGAATTTATTTTAAAATTATAATAAAAACATATCAAGAATATTATATTTTTAATTTATATATTACCATTAAATAATTCTTCAAATGTTTAATCTACATTATTTGATGTTAAAGCTGAAGTTTCTTGATATAAAATTTATTTTTCTAATGCGAATTATTAAGCATCTTCTCTTCGTTACTTTACGTAAACTTTAATTATTTTAAACTAAATCTAATTTATTTCCTACAAGCATTATAAATATATTTTATTTTGTTTAATTTTTAATTTCATCTATCCATTTACTTAATGAATAAAATGTTAATTCTTTTGTGATATCATAAACTAATATTGCACCTAATGCATTTCTATAATGCCTATAAAAATTTGTTATTTTTATATTTATTTTTTTATCTATTTTTTACGAGCTTGTTATTGATTTAAATCTTTCTTATCCAGCTTTTTTATTAAAAAAAATTATTTAAGCATTATAAAATGTGTGTGTGTTTTTTTTGTTTGAAGAGAATTATTACCTGTATCCCAAAATTAAAGTTTAACTATTTTTCCATTTTACAATTTAACTGTTTTCATTGAAAATTCTAATCCTATAGTTGGAACATATGTTTTTGGCAAATTGTTTTCTACAAATCTATTTTTTTAAGGATATAAATATTATATATTATTAAAATATTGTCAAAACATTTCTATTATTATATAATATTAATATATATATATAAATATATATATATATATATAATATATTATATTATGCCTTTTTAGTAAATTTGTTTTTCCAACATTAGTATCACCAACAATAACAACTAAATAATAATAAAATGTAAATTATAAAATATATGTTTTATATATTTCTTTAGTCTAACTTTTATAAATATTATTGGTTTCAATATCTTCTGGAATGTTTTTATCCATTTATTTATAAAAAAAAGAAAATATAAGTTTCTAATATATTTTTTTTGATTAATAATACAAAAATATTATATATATTAAAAAATTTTAAATATAATATATATTTTTTTTTCACATTAAAAAAATTATTTTTAATATTAATAAAAATTTAAATTAAAAAAGAAAAGAAAATTTAAATGAACGATAAATAATTAAATTCTATATCATATATAAGTATAGTTAATAATAAAAACGAACCAATTCTTTTAAAAAACTACACAAATATTCCTTCAACCGAATTAAATTTCTAATTGAATGTATATGCATCATTAGATTAACTTGATGCTTTATTAAAACGAAAATTATAGGACGCATAAAAAAATTAATAAATTAATTCATATTTAGGATAATTGACCACTATTTATTTAGCAGAAGATGAATTTGATATACACGGATATGTTACAGTTGGATAGCTAAAAATTATATTAATTTTAAAGCAACTAAATAATCTATATACTTATGAAGAAAAACATATTAGAAATTTAATGAGTGAAATTTATGATCTGTACAGATAAGATATTTTAAATCCTTTTAATTAGGATATTGATGAGCATATTCTAAGTTCTAAATTTAATAAAAAATTAGATTTACTTGTTGATAAATATTAATAATTTTTAGTTAAAAAAAATTGATATAAATATATAGTTTATTTATAAATAATTTATTTTTTAGTAAAATTAATTAAAAATATTTTAATATAATTATTTATATCAAAAATGAAATAATTATAATTTAAATGAATATAGTTTAGTAAATTATTTTATTAATTCAAAATTTTTTTATTATTATTTAATTATAATGCGTATAAATACTAATTTCATTTTTTTTTTAAAAAAAAATATATATATAATATTTATTATTGATTTATTTTTCTATAATTATAATATATTTATTAAAATCTTATTTTTATTATATATATATATATATATATGTTTACTTCAAATATCATTATTTTTAGATAATTTTTATACATTAATAAATAAAATATTTATAGATTAATTAAGTTAATTAAAGCAATTTTAAATTATCTTTTTTAAAAAAATATATATTAATTTAAATACATAAATAGATAAAAATATATATATAAAAATATATGTAAATTAATATAAAAGAATATATATATATTTATACAAATATAAATATATAAATATATATAATTATTTTTATTTTTTATATATCTATTTATAATATCTATATATAATTATTTATTTTTAATTTATTTTAGTTTTTTTTTACTTTTATTTTATTATTATTTTCTTCTATTATTTTACTAAAATCTTTTATTTGTTCATTATTTTTTTATTATTATTAATTTTATTAAAGTCTTATATATTATCTTTTGTTTAATCTTTATTTATTTATTAAAAAAAAATCTTCATTGCTTTAATTATCACTATCATTATCATAATTATTACTTAAAGAATTAAACTCTTCTTAAAAATCTTCACTTTAGAAAACAGAAATTTATTATAATTAGTTACTTTCTTTAGCTTCTAATATAATTTTCTTTATCTTTTTATTTTTAGTATTTTATTTAACAAAAAAAATATTTATATTTTTTATATTACTTATTTTATACTTTCTTTATTTTTTTTATGTCTTTATATTGCTAATTTTTTAAGCTTTTTATGTATATGAGGAAATTAATCTTTAATAATTTTTAGATAATGAATAGATTTTAATTAAAATAATTCACAATTTGTTTCAGCTATACATTTACATTATCTTTTTTTATTAAAAATTATTTCTATTTCTCCAAAATAAGATCCACTTATCATTGTTTTAAATGTTAATTCCTACTTAAATATATATATATATATATTTATATAAATTAAATTTCATATATACAAATAATTTATTTAAGTCACTTTTTCTTCATTATTTACACTATTTTTTTAATAATATTTTTTAAAAATTTATTCTTCCTGAGCTAAGTAAATATACTTTTATTTTATTAATAAAAAATATTTATATAAATTAATAAAAATATATACAAGAATCAGGATCATCTCCATCTTACCAAATAACTTCGCCTTTTTAAAATTTAATAGGCTATAAAAGTGGTACTATTTTAACCATGAAAAGTTAATCAGCTTCTAAATAGAAAATATTGAATTTTCTAATAACACCTCCGTGTATATTCATACATATTTCATATCTTAAACTAATAGGAAGTTAATCAAAAATACGACTTTAATTAGCCCACTAAAAGCAGTTTTTGTCCATTGAATATTAAATGTAATCTCTTAGTTTGTTTTTTAAAAAAACTCCCACGTTCATTTCATTACAAAAATCATTCATTGTTAATATTTTCTTTTATAAATTATTATCTTTTATGTCCATATATTATAATACAGAAACCAATATTCCGATTAAAATCGAATAAAAGCCTACCCCTAAAAGCATTAAGATAATTGATATTATTATTTCAGCTTTTATTTAATTTTTATATAAAAATATTAAATTTATATATTTAAATATTTCTATTACGTTAAGAAAAAGATGTTATATCTCCATAACCTACTGTTGTAATAGTTGTAATTACATAGTATATAGAAGTAATATAAAGTGTTTTATTTGTTTCGCTAATCATTTGATTTCTATATACCCATGTTTATTCGCAAAAATCTAAAAGTTTAGCCTAATAATACCAGACACAGCTTATTACATGTATAAGAATTGTAAGTTAAAAAAATAGACTAAAAATTCTAACAAAACCTGTATTTATAGATAAATAGTTTAAAATTTAACTATTGTTAATATACAGATTAATTTTAAAAATTTTGGTTATTTTTAATATTTTATAAAGTCTTGGAAAACGCGAAATTTTAAATATTTTTAAAGAATATTTCGCATCATTATTATCCATTTCGAAAATATTTTAAGCCAAAAGGTCGAAAGGAAAACATGACAAGAAATCTATTATAAACCAAGTTTTAAAATATGTACATAAAACAGTTTTTATACTTAAAACAACTTATTTATCATCATCATAGTATGTAGAGAACATATTCACAAACAAGTCAATCCAAAAAAATATATCTACTATATTTTATAAATTATTAAATATGTCATTTTAATCTTCGTCGAATGCTATTGTATATGGGTTAAAAATTACTGTGTAAATAATAAATATTGCCTTTATTTATAAGAATTTATTTTTACTTTTTAAGTTTTTTTTTAAAAATAATTACTTATAATGGTCTCCAAATTTTTAAAAAATTACTTTCAATATGTATTAAAGGAAAGGGAACGTTATTAGTGTCTTTATTTATAAATAGATCTTTTTTGCTTAGTGGAAAAAGTACCTTTTTTACTGAAGGACGGTCTCTAGTTGCTAAATCAAATAAATTAGGTGATGTACCATAATTTCGTATATTCTCGCTTATTTTATTTAATCTTATAATAGTTTTTATTTTATGAAAAGATCTTTAGTATATTCTTTTAGTTTCTTCAGAGGTCATTTTTTATTTTTAAGGTTTTGTTTTATTGTTTTTTTATGTAATAGTTTTTATTAACTTAAAAAAATCAAGCTTTTTTGGAAAATAAACTAGATTTTAGTCACATATTTATTTGGGAAAATTTGATTGCAGATTTTCGGTTATAGTGGGGTTATTTGATGATATGTTAATATTTTATATATTATAAACTGCATGCTTTTTTATATTTTTATTATTTTAGGTTTTATTTTTTATTTTATATTTATTTTTTAAAAAAAAAAACTTAAAATTTTTTCAAAATATCTGCTTTTTATTATATTTAACGTTCAGTTACTTATTCCTTTTATGTTTCTAACTAAAATATTATTTCTTTTTAGTTTTATATTGTATTTTAGTTTATATAAATGTACTTAAGGCTATTATGAAGTGGATTAGATTTAATTATTCATAAAACTATAATTTTTATATTATTTAATTTTACAAAAAAAATATAAAAATTTAATATATATTTATGTTTAAAAAAAAATTATTAATAAAATTTTTAAAAAATAACATAAAAATATTCAAAATTTAATTATTTATATATAAAGTAATAATATTAAAAAGTGTAAAAAAGAGAAAAGATATTTCAATTATTTTAATTATTAGTATTTGTAGGACATAATTCAACCATTGAGTTAATTATTTCATATTAATTTAAAATATTATTTTTAATATTATCCACCCAATTTTCTTTATCAAAACAATCACTACCTACTACAAAATAACACAATATTTATCCATTTTTTAATATCTTCATATTTATTAATTTTCTTATTTTTTTAAAAATAATATACTTTTTTTTTTTTTTGCTTTAAAATTTAGATATTAAATACCCATCATTTTATTCTAAATATGAATTCATTAATTCCATTACATCATTTTTTGTTTTTTCTGTGTCGCTTTATCCTTTTATTCTTAACATTCTATAATGATTTTATAAATTATTTGTTTTGATTTATATTTTGTTCATTTATTTTTATAGTTTCTATTTTTTTTTTAAATTAAATTAGAAACAAACATTAATTAAAGAAAAAAATAAAAAAAATACAATAAATAAACTATTTTAAAAAACAAAAAAATTAAAAAAATTCAATTTTAAAAATAAAATTCAATTTAAATATTTTGAATTAAAAATGAATAAAAATAATTAATATATATTAATTATGATTATAAAATTTGAAATGATCTTTTTTAATATATTTCTAATATTCAGTTAATTTTATTTAAAAAGACAATTAAATATTAAAATAATTATTAATATGTTAAACTATATAATTTATATTTTTATGATAATATATATAGGTTTATTATATTTTTTTGAAACAATAAAAAAACTAAATTCGCTATAATAAATAAAATTAATAATATTTAATTTATTTTTTAATTTCTTCATATTCAAATCATTAATTAATTAATTTTATTTTCTATATATCCTTAAAAAAGGAAGATAAAATTACTAAATACAAAATTAATAGGTTAGAAAAATAAGGCAAGAAGCATTAAAAAATATAAATTACTATTAATATAATATTTTTTAAAAATTATTAATATAAAACAATAAAAATAATAATTAATTAAATCCTTAAAATATTTATATTTATATTTTTAACTTAAATAAATTTAATTTTTTTTATTTAATATATTTAATATTATCATAAAATAATTTTTTTAAATTTTTCTTAAAAATAATATCAAATAAAAATATATAATAATAATATAATAAAATAATTCTTTCATATTTATTCTAAAGCCGAAAAATAACAATCACTTAATTTCTAAAATGACTCAGACGCTTAAGGATGTGCATTTTTATCGGGATGTATAAGCTTAGCAATAGATTTATATTCATTTTTAAGTTTCTAAGTATCTAAATTTTAGAAATACATTTTTAAAATTTCTTTTGGGAAAAGTAATATTTTAAACATTTCTTTTAGTTAAATTAAAGTTAAATCTTAGTTATTTTAAATAAATTCCTTAGCTTATTTTTCAGCTAATTTTTCTATTTTATTTTCTACACTTTTATATGCAAAAATAACTTTTTTTTGGAAATCTTCTTATATGAATTCATTGAAATGTTACTTTTTTAAAAATAAAATAAAATTAATATTAAAATAAAATATAACAAAAAGTTACATTTAATAAAGCCTTCCTTTTGGCTTCTTTATATAATTCTTCTTGATTCTTTTTATATTCAACTTCTTTTTAGGCCTCCTATTGTCTTAAAAATTCTTTAAATTCTTCTTTTCTTTATTTTTTACATTGATTACACTATTTATTTTTATAAGTAGAATAATGAGATTCCCAAAGATGATTTTTTTTGCATTAAAAATAAAGTATTTTTGAGAAATATTTATTCAGTAAAAAGCCTTAATTAGAATTTGCATAATCTTAAGCAATTTTTAAGTTTTATTGACATTTTTAACACCATCGTCCATTAAGCAAATCTACCATAGAAAGAGTAAAAGAATGCTTAAAAAAACACCGAATAGATAAGGTGCAGCTCGGAAAAACATGATTAAATTCTTCCTCTGCCAGCCTTCCCTCCCGTTGCTTTATAAGATTTTTTATTTCTATCATGGATGAATTTACAACTATTTAATATTATAGTTTTTTTTTTATATAAAATATATATATTTTATTTTATTTTGTAAAGATTAATGTTTTTAATTTAAAATTTATATATAAAAATATTACTTTATAACATTATTTTTTATATTATAATTATAATTTGTATAAAAACAAATACAAATAATAATAGATATATATTATTTGTATTAGTTCTAAAAAATAAATAAAAGTAAGTATAAAAATAAAAAAATAATAAAAGTAATATTATATATATATAATATAATTAAAATTTTATATATTTATATGTTTATATATTATATATTTATATATTTATTTATTATGATTACTATTATGTTATTTTTCAGGATTGTCCTCATAGAAATTAAAAAAAAACTAATTTTCGTTAGTATTTTTAAATTAATTTAGTTTATTTTCGTAATTTTAAAAAGAATCTGAATTAGTTGAAAAAAAAGAGTCTTTTCTAATATTTTCTTTGTTTGTTTTATTTCTTTTTTCTACTAATGGTTCTATGCCTTATTAATAATCATTTAAATTATTATTATGTTCATATTAGAAAATATCATCGTATTTCTAATCAAAAGATATTTATGTTTCTTTTTCTGAATTATCTTTATTATTAAATTTTTATAAATCATTCTCTATATTATAAAAGACTTAATTGTCTTTAACATTGTTATTTATATAATCGACTTAAGCATAAGGATTTTTCCGTTTTCCTATATAATTATTATTAAAAGATTATTATTATTATTAATTCATTTTTATTTTAAATAAATATTATTATTTATAAATGGGGTTTTTTTTTTTTTTTTTTTTGAGTTGTTTTTTTGGGTTGTTTTTTGTTTTGAGATCCTCTTAACTTTTTTTTTAAGAAAGTGTAAAGGCAGGGTTTTTTGGGGGATTTTTAAGGTTTTTATTTTTGAGATAAACGGGAACTTATCCTTAGATAAGTTTTTTTTATATTATATTTTTTTTTTTTTAAGAAATTTTCTTTTTTAATATATTTAATTAATATATATATTTTTTTTATTTTTTTCTTTAGAAAATTATAGGAAAAAACAAAAATTTTTTTTTTTTTTTTCCAAAATAAATTCTTCATCTATTTAATTTTTTTAAAAAAAATCTTAATTGTAAACAACTTTTTTTTTCATGTTGATATTTTATATAATAATAATTATAAATTTTGCGTTTATTTTTGATAAGATTTAAATTATTTTTAAGAAAGTTATTTGTATTTTTATATATTTAGTTATAAAAGAAATATTTAAATTATAAAATAACATTTTTTTTTATTAAGAAAATTCTTATCCATATAAAAATAAAATAATTAATTAAAAAAAAAAAAAAAAAAAAAAATTTCCAAGATTTTATCTAAATATTAATTTAATAGTAATATGATAAATTAAAAAAATAATAAATAATTAAAAAGAGTTTATAAAATTTAATTTATTTTATAAAAACTTAAAAAAAAATATTAAAATTTAATATTTTTATTTACTAAATAAAAATAAAAAATATCATTTATTAAGATTATCTATTTATTTAGCAGGTGAAGCATCTATAAATTCTTAAATATTTTTAAGATTTTCATAAACTTCTTTAATATTAGGAAAAGGACTTAAATCGAATTAAAATCTATCAACAACTCCCTAAACTTAAGGAATAAAATATATATCTGCTAAACTAATTTAATCTCCAAAACAATATAAACCTTTATTTTCTTTTAAAATTTGTTCCAAAACTATTTTTGATTTTTTAATATAAATATATATATTATTTTTAATTTTATTTTTTTACCTTAAAATCCTTTGTTTACCCAATGTTTTAACCATTCGATTTTGTCTTATTTGTATTAGCATTCCACATACTAAATTACTCTTAGATTTTGTAAAGGATGGATAGAACTATTAATAATTTAACAAAATCCTCTAATATTTGCTCTTTGAAGATTATCTTTAGGTAATAAATTATAAGAATCGGGAAATTCTTCCTCTAAAAAATCTAATATTGCTGAACTTTCAATTATAATCTGTCCTTTATATTCTAATGCAGGAACAGCCTATAAATAAATATTAATAAATACTTATGTTTTTATAAATAAAATATATACTAATATTTACTTAATTTGGATTAATTTTTGTAAAATATTCTGATTTTTATTCACTCTATAATAAATTTATTGGCTTAATTTCATATTATATTTTTTTTAAATTTAAAGCGATTCTGACTCTCCAAGATGTTGAAGATCTAAAATAACTATAAAGTACTATGTTTTAATTTTACATTAAAAAAAATGAAATGATATTTATAAAAATAAAATATAAATAAATAAATATATAATTTTATTTAAAATGAAAAAAAAAATATAAAGAAATATAATATATAAAAAATATATATATAATAAATATAATATATATATATATATATATATATATAAATATATGTATATATATATTTAGATAATATAGTTTATATATTTTTTTTTATTGTTATTTAAAAAATGAATATTAATCTTTACGTTTAAAATATATAAAATTTAATAATTTTTTCTTAGAAATTGTCATTAGATTATAATATTTATCCAGATGACATTAATTATGATTATTTAAAAGAATAAAATAATTTATTGTTAAAATAATTTTAATATCAAGAAAATTTAATCACATAATTAAAATAAGAAAATTAATGTATTATTACTAAATTAGCATCATCAGAAGTTTAAAAGGATGAATTATAAAAAGAACTTGATGATATTTAAATTTATATGTAAGATTTCGAATAGTCTTTATTTTAGTTTTAGACTTAAAAAAGTTTATATATTAAATAAAAAGAGGCTTTTATATAAGAAAAAAATGATTTGTAAATTTAAATTAATCAAATTAAAAATTCAAAAGAAAAGTAAGAAGAATCATATGAAGATAATAATGTTTTAAATTATCTAAAATAATTTCATTTAAATTAAGAATAAGAAATAGATGAATATAATGAAAAGTAAAATGAAAATAATTAAGTAAAATTAGAAGAAAAAAATAGACTTTAATAAGAATTTTTTATTGAAACTTAAGAATACATACAATTAAAATCTTAAATGGAAAAATTATAGAAGATATTAGATGAAAAAGAAAAAGAAAAAATTTGAATTTTATTTTAATTATATAGAAAAAAAAAATAAGGATTATATTTATATAATTTATATTTTTTTATAATATATATATATATTATATACTATTTCTTTATTTATTTTAAATATAAGTATTTTTTAAATTATAAAAAATACAATATAAAATTTATTTAATCTATCAATTATTTTTTTTACTTTATAATTTGAATGTCTATATTTCTTTTTCAATCTTTATGTTCAAGATAATATAAAATATTTAATTTATATTTATATATATTATTATCAATATATAATTTTTTATTTTCTTGATTTTATGCTTATTAAAGTAAACATAATAAATAGGTTAGTATAATTTATAATTAAATATTTTATATATATTAAATCCTTTAAAAAAAAAAAATATTCACATATTTATTTACAATGTTTGTTAATATTTTGTTGTATAATTTGTATTTTCTTTTTTTAAATAAATTATTTATATATCATAATAATAAATAAATTATTAATTTTTTTAAAAATAAATAAATAAATATTATGAATTATTTTCTTTAATATACTAATTTTAAAATTTGTGTTTTGCTTTATATTTAGAATTTTTTAAAAAATTTTTAAATTTACTGAATAAATTTATATTGAGATTCATTTATTTAACATTTCTTTACTTTATATAATTAAAACACTAATTTATAAATATTTATAATATATATATATAAATTAAGATATTATAAAACTATTTGTAAAAATCTTATAATATTTTTAAATTTTTTTTTAAAATTATTATTAAAAACATAATAATAAATTTTATTAAATACTTATATTTATATTTTATTTTAAATTTTTTTATTATTATAATATATCTAATTTTTTTAACAATTAAATTAATATTATGATTCAAATCTTATTTTTTTAAAAAAAACAGAATATTGTATTTAAATTTTTATATAGATTTTTAAATTTGTATTTACTTAGTAATTAATAATTTATTATTATACTATTAATAAATATGATAATAAACTTTTACACTTTTAGTTATATTTTAAAAATATTTATTTAATTTGTTCTTTTTTTAAATAAAAACAAAACAACAAACATTACAAAAAATATTTTTATTATTTTTTAAATTAAAAAAATACAAGAATGAATAAATTTTTTTTAAAAAAAAAATTAAATTTTTATTATTTTTAAAATTCAAAAAAAAAAAATATATATATATATATATATATATATATGGTTTACTTTATATAAGTATAAAATCTAGAAAATATGCCTTAAAACCAATACAAAACTTAAAATAACTCATCTTCTTCTTATATCCAAGAAAAAAAAAATTCAACTTCTTTTTTGACTGATTTAAGCAAAGATTGCGACTTTAAAATAACAAATTCCCAAGTCTTATCTTTAAAATTCGAAGGGGAAATGTCTTTTAAAGATTTCAAGGAAGTTTTGAGAATACTTTCAGATAAAAAAAGTTACAAGGAGATTAAAAAAGTTGAAATAATAACACAAATTAATAAGAAAAATAGATAAAGTGGACTTTTGAATGAAAATAAATTTAAAGTTACCTATTTATCTTCTATAACGAATTTAATATAGAAAAACTTTTCTGAAATAACTCATTTAACGTTTCATTTCCCATCCTAAAGCGAGCTTAACCAAGACATAGATTGTACTTCTATTCAATCTATATCAAATATGTTATTTTATTTAAAAAAATTGACTCATTTAGACATTAATTTATTCCAATGGGGCTATTTTAATATTAAAACTAATAATAATGCAATTAAATAACTAACAAGTGCTATTGGGTAACTTAATTTAAAAAGTTTAAAAATAGATTTAGGTAGATGGGGATGTGAATAATATGGAAATTTAAGAATTTTCGACAATAAATCTATCTCTTTTATAAGTAAAATGATTTCATAGTAATATAATTTGAAAAATTTGGAACTTTATTTAAGATCTTGGGGTTATGAAAATGAATCTATAGATAATAAAGGCGTATAAAATATATTAGAAAGTTTAAAAAATCTTATTTATTTAGAAAAAATAGTATTAGATTTAAATAAATGGGGATATTTAAATTCTTGCATTAATAATAGAAGTTTTGTTAATTTAAAAGATTAAATAAAAAATCTTAAAAATTTAAAAGAAGTAAAAATAAATATTAATTTATGGAGATTTTTTAATGATTTTAAGTGTATTAAAAATGCATTTTTAAATCTACCAACTTTAACTTAATGTAAAATAGAAGTAGAAGGAAAATCTAATGATATAGAAGAAATTGAAGATGCAATAAGGTAAAAATAAAAATGTGTATTAATGCTTGGGTCATTATTAAAAAGTAATTAAGGAGTGCTATTTAGAAAATAAATAATATGGGATTGTTTAAGGGTGTGCTAAAATATAAATTATTTATGAAATTTTAATTTATGATATAAGATATATATATATGTAATTATATATATGTAATATAAATATATATATATATATATATATATATTTTACTATATTAATAAATCTATTTATTTAATAATTTATTTTATCATTATTCGTATTATTTATGTTTATATTTATTTTAAATTAACTTTTATTATAAAATATTTAATATTTTTTATTTTTTTAAATATTTTATATTAATAAAATTTTTATTTTGATTTTGATTATATTTTATTATATTAATAAAATAATTTTTTTTTTTTTTTTAATCAATTCAAATTATATGGTTGTCCATACATATTATCTTAAAATGATTTATTTTTAGTTGAATTAGTATAATTATTAGTTTATTATTTATTTTTTAAATATTTAAAGAAATAATTTTGATTTTTTTCTTAATTGTTTATATTTTTTTCTCCTTCATTATAATATAATTCAGAAATATTATAAATAGAACTATTTTAATTTTAATTATTTTTTTTCTAAAAATCTTATTAAATTTCATCAAAATCAATATTTTTTTAAGATACTTGTTACTATTCTTCTTATTAAATAATTCTCACAAACTTCTATATTTATTAAAATTTATTCGAAATTTCTTTTCCTAACATATTCTTTAATTCACTTAATTATTTATTACATCCATCTAGATTAAATAAAGGACCATTATTGCTAATTTAACTTATAAGAACCTAAGAAACATCACATATATTTTATAGATTTGCACTTTATAATTAACTTACAAATTAATATAATTTTGATAGCTTATTTTTATATTATAATTCTTGTATTTCTTTAACTAATTAGGTATTACTTAAGTTACTTTTTGAATTTTCGTCTTAAATTTAAGTTTATTAGGGAATGTATTATTTTTGTATTGTTTTGAAGCTAATTAATTCTTATTTAAATATTTAATATCTTTCAATAAAAATTTTATAATGTTCATCTACTTTTTATTAAAGGTCTATTTTTAAATCATCTAGTAAATTAATTATTTGTTATTTATTATTTTCTATGCATTAATTTATTTTTTCTTTTTCTTTTTCAATTCTTTCTCGATAATTACTTAAATTCTATATAAGTTTTTTTTTTTTTAATTTTTTTTTTATTACTTTTTCTTCCTCACTTAATAAAAACATAGTGTATTAAGGAAAATAATCTTAGTCAATTACTTTTGTATCAAATTAAAGTTTTTAATTAATATTTTTTATATTTATAGTATTATTTAATGGGAATGTATTTTAACTTTATAAAAAGTAATTATTTTATTATTAAGGAATACTTTTTTTATATATATATATAAATAATGTATTCATTTAAAATTAATATTAAAATAAAAGTAAAAAATAATATTTAAATAGTATTTTTTACTTTAAATTATTACTAAAGAATCTTTAATAAGGTATTTCTTAGTCTAACTTTTCTTGGTTTTTGAATGTTTATTATTATAAGTTTTCTTGGTTTTTGAATGTTTATTATTAAAAATTTTCTTGGTTTTTAAATGCTTATTATTATAAATTTTCTTGGATGTCTAAGTCTATTTTATTATCAAAAAACTGTTAGTATTATTGATAAAGTTATAGCTGTTTTAGTTATTTGATATTTTAAAGTTTTTTTTTTTTTCTTGTTCACTTTAATTATTTAAGGAATAGTTTGTTGAGTCTTAATTATTAATGAAATTTTTATTTTATTAATAAGATTATTAAGAGATATGACTTAAATCCGAATTTATTTTATTTTAAAAGTTTTAGTTACTTTCTGGATTTTTAAAATTTTAATTAATATTTTCAGAATTAAAATTCGAGAAATCAGGTTAGTTATTTTCAAAAGGATTATAATCTTAGTTTTAGAGTTGATTTTTTGGTAAAGTTTTTTAAAAAGTAGATTTTAGTTAATCATTTTTTGTTTTTAACACAAATATTATATTATATTATGGAAATATTTAAAAGTATTTTATTTGTATAATTGTATAATATGTATTATTATTATTTATTAAATTTGAATTTAATTTATTTATATAATTTTTTTTTTTTTTTTTTTTTTTAAATAATTTAATTTTTTTTTTTATTAATATTTTAATTTAAATTATAAAGTATTTTTATTTATTTTTTTGTTATTAATAAAGATATTTTTAATTATATTTAAAAAAGTTTTATATCAAAGATTATATTATTAATTTTATATTAAAATTATAGCATTTAATTTAAACATATTTTTTTTTTTAAATATAAATATAAATATATATATATATATAATACATTTATTTATTAACAAAAGTCAAACCTTCTTCTCTTCTTATAATTTATATTATTATTTTTCCAATTCTTCGATTTGATCTTTCATTTAACAATTGAGAGTTTCTTTTAAACCAAATCCACATAAAGTAGACGATATCCCAATTCCTCCGAAAAAAATAACCGGATTTAACCCAATAAACTCTGAAAACTACAAAGCAAAAGACGACAAAATACTTCCTGAAATTCCCACACCTCTAATAAGTCCAAGCGCCAACCCTCTAATTTACGTTGGGAATAATTCAGGGAAATACATACTAATTATTACAAAGAAATTTTATAGAAACATCCTTGCTAATACATACAGAATTATTTAAATATATTTTTAATAACATAATGTTTTTTAACATTATTCAGGAATTTAAAAAAAATAAACACTTAAAGAAAATACTCCAGAAGCGAATTAAAGGCTCAAAGAAAGAGTTTTCCTTTTCATTTTTTTTATTATAAAAAATAAAAAAACACAGCCGATTGTTTCAGCTGAAAAAGCAATAAAAAGATTAATATATATATTAAATCCTATTTAATCAATACTGAATTATAATCCATATAAAATAAACATTGTTAAAAATTTATATAAAGTACATGAGAAAGCCAAAATTCTAATTGATTTATATTTAAAAAGATCCCAATATGTAAAAGTTTAAGTATTTAATTTATTTACAATTGAAAAAGCTTCAAATTAAACATTTTCATGAGAAATTAATGTTTTTTTTAGAATTTTTTTTACCGATTTTATTTAAACATTCGATTATTTTTTGGTTGTTTTTTCCCACGTAAAATCTCGGACTTTCTACCAAATAAAAATTTGTTAAAATCAACAAAAACATTGGTAAAGCGAAGAAAAAACGGATGAAAATCTTCCAATTATTATCTAAAATGTACATAATACCATCTAATACCCCTTCACTAAGTGTATAACCCGTCAATATAAAAGCAGTGGTCACAACTCGGAATTTACCAGAAGATTATTCGGTCATAATGATAAAATTTAAAGTATTAGAAGGATATATACCAAATCCTGCTATAAAAAAACCCACCATAAGCATATAGACATTAACGGAAAAAGCAATGACCAAAACTCCTACAGAAGCAGCAATCCAGCTGCATAAAAAGGCAATTTTTCTGCCTTTTAAATCACTTAAAAATGAAAAAATAAAAGAACCTAAAAAACCTCCAAAAAAAACCATACTTTAAGTGATAGATTTTAAATATTATCTATCACAATATAAATTAAATTCATATGTAAAAGAATGAGTACTCTTTTAAGAAATTCGATAGTTTTAGAGTTTACAAGCATCATTTTCGGAACATTCATTATTTTAAGGTAAACATAAAAATATAGGGTCTTTGAAAAAAAAAGGCTGACCAACAAATATAAATGAGGATATTAAAAATTGTAAAAAAAAAAATATAAATATTGTCTTTTAATAACGACCTTTACCGTTTATGGCTTCTAAAAGTTAATCTATTGATGTGTATTTTTAACTGTTAATTAAGGAAGTTTCGTCTATTATGCTTTTTTGGGTTTATTAAATATTTATATTATCATTCATTTATTTTTTATTTAGTTTTTTGTTTGTTTTATTTTATGTGTATTATTGTTAAGATATAATATTTTTATTATTATTATTTTAGACTAAAAATATAAAAGAATATGATTTTTATTTATTTTTAATTATTGTGTTTATGAAAATAATAATGTTTTCTTTATCAATTTGTATATATATTTAATGTAAATGTTTTTTTCTTTGTAATTTTCGCTAAAAAGCTAGTTTTTTTTAAAAAAAAAATATAAATCAATTTTATTATTATTCCATTTTTTTTATTTATTTTTTTCGTTATAATTTAATATATCATTTTAATTTTTATATAAAAATAAAATAAATTTTTATAGAATTTGTTTTTCATAAATATAATCATTAATAAAAAAAAAAATAACTTAATATCATAAAAAATATCAAACAAATGTTTTAAAAAATATGTAAAAAACGTATAATTCTCGGAATAAAATAATCTCCTCCCCCTAAATCTCCCGAAAAAGCTTAAAAATTTGAAAAAGCATTCTAAAAAGATAGCGTTATGTTAAAATCTTCTTAAATAAAATCCCAATCTCCTTCTTTAATAAGATTCCCATAAATAAAACCTATCGAATTTTACGATTTAGGTGGTTCTTAATATAAAAATTATAAATATAGGAAAATATAGGCCAGTTTAGAATTTGAGTTTTTGAATTCTTTGCCTTTAGATTATTAAGGAAAAACTATAGCACGCTTATTCAAATTAAACCATAAGTAAAATATGACTGAAAGTGCAATGCAAAAAATTCAAAAAAGAAACGAATTTCAAAATCTGTTAATATAAAAGGATAATAAAAGCCAAAACATACCCAAATAGTTAGATTTAATTCGATAGAAATTAACTTTAGATATAATTTAATAATAAGACAAGGAATATCCATTTTAATAAAGGGAAAAAATACTTAAAAAATAGGAAAAATTAAATAAAAAAATAAAAGAAATGAAAAATGAAATGCCTTAAAAATAATGGGTTGCACCAGTAATAAAATTTTTTAAGAAAGGAAAAGATAATAATAACTATTAAATAAATATTATTAACAATAGAATTCTATTTGATGGCCAATTTGAAAAAGAGGAAAGTTTATAAAGGAAAACTTTTTAAAAATAGATAGAAGAATATAAGCATATATAAGAAGAAACATTATAAGATAATGGAATAAGTATTAAATTAACTGATTTAAATAAAGGGTTTATCGGAAAAGGAAAAAAAATGAGATGTCTATTGGAAAAACAAGATAGAGATCCAATGAAATTTAAGTGTTTTGGGGATATTATTAAAATTACTAATAGAAAAAATTAAATGTTATTACTAGTTAATGAATATAATAGGATTTTAGAAATTGATTAATAAAAATAAATATTATAGAGGACTAAAATGGTTGTTTCTTAGTCATAAAGCTTAAATAATGATTTATTTAATAATAAAAGTAAATTTTAGAAAGAATAAGGGATTTCTAAGGAATGTTTTATTGAATAAAATACATAAATTAGGGATTGTTTGAGAAATGAGAAAGAAATTGTTGATAGAATTATTTTTGGGATATCGAATTAAATTAATATTCTTGATTTTAATTCTTTATTAAATTATTATAAAATTTTCATTTTCTAAAATACTGATAGGGATTTACTTATTGATTTCTTGTGTAAATTCTTCTTTTATGCTTAGGATAGTATTAATACTTAGTTTACTAGTCTTGAGAGGTTTCTTTAAACTCTAAAACTTGTTTCTAATCATCCTTTTAAAAATAATACTTATTTACAATATGAAAAATGGGAAAATAATCTAAAATAGTGTATAGAAATCAATTTCAATCCAGGGTTCATTTTAAGAAAAAAAAATCTTAAGGATATTTTCGAAAATAATTATGTTAAACCTGAAGATATATTTGGTTTATTATATATATGAGTATATATATATATATATTATTTTTATTAAGTTCTAATTTATTTTTTTTGTTATTGTGTTTTCCAATTGAATTTTATTTATTATTTAGTTTGACTATTTAATATTATATTTTTTTAATAAAATAAAATTTATTTGTATATTAAAATAATCTATAAATATTTTAGTTTATATTATAATATATGATATATATATATATATATATATATATATATATATTATATATATATATATATTTATATATATATCATGTACACAATTATATTTATATAAAGTGTTTAAAATAAAAATAAGGAATTAAAAAGAAAAGATTTTTAATTAAAAAAAATAAAATTAAATAAAAAAAAAGAATTCAATAAACAAAAATGCATAAATTAGCTCCTTTAAATTAAAATAAATTAAGTAAAATACTACATTATATAAAATGAATTAATAAAATTAAAACTTAAAACAAAAAATAAATTTAAACAAAATAAAAAGTTTTAAGATTTTTATTAAACCATAGATTTTCATCTTAATAATAATAAAGTAAATAACCAAAAGAAGAAGAAAGAACGTTCTAAGAAGAACTTGAATTAACACAAGATAGAAATACTGAACCTGAACCCGAATATGAATAATCAAGTAAACATACATTTAATTTTATTTAAAAAATAGAAAAGAAATACAAAAAATAAATAATTAAAATATCTTTTTTTATAAATAAAAAGCTACTGAAAAAAGTCAATCACTTTTTGGAAAAATAATGCGTTATGGCTTCTATACATTTTTAGGAGTTTTTTCTTATTAATATTATTTAATTGGAAAAACATAAAAACCTGAATAAGAAACAGGTTTTTATATAAAATATTATTATACAAATTTTTTTAATCTTATTAAATAATAAATATAAATAGGATACATTAAACCTGTTGCAATTTTAGCAAAAAAACATAAGAAAATATCCATGGATTTTTCGCAGTTAATAAATATTATAATAATATTAAATAATAGTTTTTTATTTTTTTATTTTTTTATAGTTCTTTAGTAAACCATTCTCTAAAAAATTACTACCTGATCCTTCTTTTATTGTATATGGACCAATTTAACCAAAAACAATAGTATTAAATTTATCTGGAACAGTTATTCATACATCCTTTATTGTAAAATATAAATAATTAATATGAAAATATAATTTAAAACAAAAAACATAGATGGGAACAGGACATAAAGTTTAAAAAAGACCCGGCTTAAATTAATTACTTTAACGTTTATCACGTTTATGTGAACTTGTTATATTATCTGATGATGATACGTTTGTAAATTATTATTTTTATTTATTTATTTTATATAAATTAAAAAAAAAAAAAACTTTCTATAAAGTTTGTTAGTTAAGTTAAATAAAATATAGACCCTGATGGTTAGTTGTTTTTAAGAGATTTTGGAAGAGAATCTATGGTTTATGATAAAGGGAGTTATAAAAAAGATTTAAGATATTTAAATAGAGATTTGAGAAATGTTATTGTTATTGATAATGACCCAGAAAGACTTCCAGAATAGTTTAGAGATAATGCAATATTTTTATCTACTTTTGATGGAAGTACAGACGATAATGAATTAGTTTAAACTCTCCCTTTATTAGAAAGTAAATATATATATATAAAAATTAGTTATTTTGTTTATAATAGAATTGGTATAACCTAATGTTAAAGATATAAGAGAAGAGTTAAAAAGATATGGAAACAAAAATCCTGGTAAAAAATACTTTGAAGAATTAGAAAAGAAAAAAACTGAATTTTAAAATATGTAAAAAAAAGCTTTTGGAGGATTTTTAAGAGGGTCTTAAACTACTAATCCTAGTTTTAAATAATAACATTGAAAGAAGGGATAAATAAATGATTTTTTTTTTATTTTGAGAAAATAAATAAAAAGTATAATTATAAAATATAAAATTTAAAATTTAAAAAGCTTTTGACAAAAAAAAAAAATCCGAAAATCTGTATTTTTATGTTTCTATATATTAGTGATTAATATTAAATTATATTTACAATTTATTATATATTTCTAAATATAAATATTATTAAAGAAGGTAATAATATATTCAATATAAATAATAAATAAGTGTATATTTTCTCTTAAATATTAAAAGTATATTTTATTTTATTTATTTTAAATATCATTTTTAGTTTTAAAAAATATTTTTTTTTAAAAAAAAAATGAATCTTTAATATATTTTTTATTTTTATATTAATAGTTTATTATAAATATATATGTTTTTCTTAAATAATTTAATAAAGGAAAATTATCAAAAAAATATAAAAAAAAATTAAATAAAAAGTTATTTTATAAATTTTTAATATTAATAAAAGAGAAAAAATAAAATAAAAAATAAATAATGGAATCAACAGCAATTAGAAAAACCTAAAGTGTATTCAATGAAAACGATTTAAAGAGAGCTCCTACACTATTCGAAAAAATAGATGAACACCAAATTCAAATAAATATTGACAGTCTTATATAAAGAACCTCATTAAAGTCAAATGCATAAATGAATTCTCAAACGAAAAAATCTTATTGTTATTTGTTAAATGTGAAAAGGGAGATTTTTTTAATTTTTGAAGATCCTCATTATTCCATAACTGCTAAACTAGTTTAATTTTTCATATAGTTATGTGTTTTAATTACTATACTATTAGTAGTAGTTGATTCGATATATGAAGATTAATAAAATGGGGACGATTATTATAAAGTAAGTATATATTTAGAATTAATTATTTTTGGAGTTTTCCTTTTTGAACTTTTGATAAGGTTGAGCGTTTGTACAAGTTTTGGGCAAAGCTTTATTAATTATATTAAATAGCCTTTAAATATTATTGATATTATGTCAATATTACCTTCTTGTATTGATTTTGTATTAAGAAGTATAGATTATATACCCATTTTTAAAGCAAATAATTTGTAAATCATTAGAGTTTTTAAGCTTTTGAGATTAGTAAGAATACTTAAACTTTCCAGATATATATAAGGAATAAATACTTTAAGAAAAAGCTTGAAAAAATCAAGTAGATATTTTAGCTTTGTGACTTTATTTTTACTTATTTTTAATATTTTTACGGGTACTATTCTTTATTATTTAGAACTAAATTATACATAATCATCACCTTAAAATAATCTCTAAATAGAAAGTTGAATAAAGTATATATATAAATTTCTTTATTCTAAAATTATACATGTATAATGTTAAAATATAAATATTATATCTTTGTATTTATAAATATATATATATATAAATATATATATATATATATAGATATATATATATATATATATATATATATATATATATATATATATATATTTTAAATGATTATTTAGGTATTCCTTAAGGCATGTGGTTGGTTTTATTAACAATGACAACTGTAGGATATGGAGATTTTATTCCTAATAGTATATTTGGAAAAGTATTAATTTCTTTTATTTCTTTGATTTCAAATTCTTTAGTTATAGGTATTCCAATAGCTATTATTTCCTTTGATTTTTAGTCTGTTTTTAATAAACAAAAAGAGAAAATAAAATTTGAAAATTATAAAATGGAAGAGATAGGAATTTAGAATAAACAATAATTAAAATTTAAATAAGAAATTTTTTTTTTACAAAATAGATTGCGTTAAATTTCTATAAAAAATAAAATCGTAAGAGAACTTGTTTAGAAAAGTAGTAAAATGTCATTTTTAATTACTAAAGATTTGATTGATATATATTATAAAATTGAGTAAAATGCAAATAATGAAATTAATATGATTGATAAATAATGGATTTAATATAGTAATATGCATAAGTCTTCTAAAGTTAAATTAAATTCGTTTAGAAATTCTATATTAAATATAAAAGATTCGAATAGTTAAAAAAATTAAAGTACACTAAATAATATTATACATAATTAAATAAATATAAATACTTAAAATAATGATAATAATATTAATTAATAAATTAATTAAAAGTTTGAAAATAAAAATTTAAATAATCAATTAAAAGATGAAAAAGAAAAAAATTATTAAGAAACGGATGATAAAACTTAATTCTAAAAAATGATAAAAAGGTACTTTTTTAAATCTAAATCTCTTATTCCTAATATAGATAAGATTAATTATGAATAAATAGTAAATTAATAAGAATATAAAAGTTTTTATAAAACATAGTCTTTTCATGAAAAGTAGCTTTTTTTGAAATAAATATAAATGGATTTTGATTTAAATACAAACAAAAATCTATCTTTTATAGATGAATAAGGAGCTAATTATTTTAATATAGATAAACATAGTCTATAAAGTCAAAAAAAAGCAAATAATATTTAAAAACCATTAATAAATAATACTTAATATAATTTATTTGATACTCGTTAGTCTCCCGGATAAATTATGAGTTACATAAATAATTTAAAAAATATTAATACTCTAAAACGAGCTCATACAATGGTAGAGTTTGCAATTTAAGAAGAAAGCAGTGAAGAAAGTGAGGATAAATAAATTTAATAAAAATAATAAGTTTTTGATTTAAAAGCTCAATAGAATATTAAAAAATAAAGAGTTTATAGAAAAACCGAGATTTTTTAAAAAAAATATACTAAAAAAGTTAATTTACATAAATATGGGAAATCAGAAAATATTTAAAGTATTTTTAAATAAGAAAGTTGTAATAATTCCTTTTTGGAAGATGAAAGAGGTAAAAGTTTAAATTTTGAGCAATAAATTACTTCTTCTGATGTATAATTAATCAAAATATGAAAATATAAAAATTATACTAAAAGTTTATAATATATTATATATTTTTATGTCTTTTTTTTTTAACAAAAAAATACTTTTTTTTTTTTTTTTACATTTTTTCACTTTTTCACTTTTTTTCCATAAAAATACATTTTTTTGTATCATTAAAATAATCATTAATTTTAGTCTTTTTAATTTAAACAAGAAAAAAAAAATTATGAGAAATATAGTTGATTAAGCCCCAAAATTAGGTGAGAAAATATCATGGTTTCCAGGTCATATGTACCGTGCATTACGTTTAATGCGTGATAAACAAGAAAATATTGATTATTTTATTGAAATAAGAGACAGTCGTATACCAATATCATCCCGTAATCAAGAATTTGATGATTTATGTTAATTTTACAATAAAAAAAAGATAATAGTATTTAATAAATACGATTTATCAAATTAACGTGTAATAAATAATTTAGTAGAAAAATACACAAAAGTAGGAATCGATTGCTTTTCAGTTTCGGCTTTAAAAGGAACTAATATGCCTAATGTAAACGAATAAATATTAAAAAGAATTTAAGGAAAATACTCTACAGTTGGTATTTGGTTAATGATATGTGGAATGCCTAATGTAGGAAAATCTACTATTATTAATTAATTAAGAACACTTATTAGATAAAAATCTATTAATAAATCCGAAGCTACTCCTTGTACTACTAAAAGTATTGTCGGAGTTAAAATTAGTTAAGATCCTCTTATTTATTTAGTTGATACACCAGGGGTTATGATTCCTAATATATAAGATGATGAAGTATTTACTTATAAATTAAAATGTTTATATTTTATTATTATTATATTTTAAATTGAAAATTTATTAAAAAGACAGCATTAAAATTATCATTAGTTGGCTGTATAAAAGATGTTATTCCTGGAAAAGAAATAATTTTAGATTATTTAGTATATGTATTGAATAAATATAAAATTTAGAAATATAAAGAATATTATGGAATTAAATAAGAAATAAAATGTGGAGATGACCTTTTTTGTTTTATAAGGGATAAATATAGACATTATAACTACTAAACTACATATGATATGATAATTGATGATTTTCGATAAGGAAAGTTAGGTAAATTTACTATGGATATTATTGATTTTTGAAAAATATATATATTACTAGATTTATTAAATTAATAATATTATTTTTTTTATTTCATTTTTAATCTTTTTAAATTCTTGGTTAAGTTAAAAAATTTTCTAATTCAATCCAAAATAAATCATGCGCAGCCTTATCTAAATGTCTTTTATGTCTAAAAATATCAAGTACTTTTACATTCCAATTCCCTACTTATTCAGGTATAGGTTATTCAGAATATCTTAAATAGAATCCTCTTATTTAATCCAATTATGTAGGAATATTATTTTCTAAAGGCCAAGATTTAAATTAATATTTTTAACCTGTAACAAATACAGCTACAACTCTATCCCATTTACCTTAAAAATATATACATTAATATATTTATATATATAAATATATATTTATTTATTTATAAATTATTTTTTTTTTTTTTAATTATATCGTTTTTATACAATTATTTACCTTTGTTATTATTTCTGCGTTCGAATGTACCTACATTATCGTATATTTCAAATGTAAATTTATATCCTTTTATATCTTTTTCGATTTAGATTGTTCTTTCTACACCATCGTAGTATTTATTTTCAGAATCAACGTAATTTCCATCAGATATAAATTATTTTGAGTTATAAAGTGAAATATTTCCTGATCTACCCATTGAAGGAACAACAATTATTGGTTTTATTTTTTTCTCTACGAAGTCTTTTAATAAACAAGAATAATTTATTTGTAATTTAAAATTTTCGGCTTAGGAAATACAAACAGTACTATTTTAAACTTTTCCTTCTTCTAAATACTATTTTAAAAAAAATATATAAAAAAAAAATATATATATATATATATATATATATATATATATTAGTTATTTATTTTTTTATTAAATTTTATTTAAACAAAATAAAAATTATAATAATGCATTTTTTTTTTTGAAAAAAAAAAAAAATACTCAATATTTATTTTTTTTGTAAAAAATATTTCAGAAAAAATAAAAACAAAACATTCTAAAAAATAATATATATTTACTTTTAAATAGCCTTTAAAATTTGTATTATTTTTAGCTCTTAACATTCTTGTTTTTGAATTTAAAGGTTTTTCCGTTTTCAGAATCCAGTTTATCATAATAATGCTTTCCTCAGGGTCATTAGGTTTTGCTTTTTTATTTATTGTTTCCTATGTATTTTCATTATTTGTTTATTTTTTTATCTCAGGAATGCTTTATTGTTGGTTTAATTTAAAATTTTGGTCTATACATTCTGAATTTTCTATTTTTCCTTAAAAATAATTTAATATTTCCTCTTCATCACCTTTTTGGATTTAATCAAGACCGAAACTATATCTTTTATTAAAATAATCCTTTACGGACATATTTTATTCGTATTTTTATAAAAAAAGCCATAATGAACCTAAATTTAAGTATGTATTTTGATTTATTTTTGACATCCAACATGTTGGAGTTTTTAATTCAAATTTTATGTTATCGAAATATAAGTAGCTTTCCTTTTTTTTTATTTCCTTTTTGTTTATTGTAAATTCTCGTAATAAATCTATTGGATTTATTCGAGAATTTCTTTTATTACTTCTAGACATAAATAAGTCTTATTTTAAAATAAAATAATATATATATAATTAATAAATAAAAAAGATTTAATAAAAAAAATATTTGAATAATAAAATCAATATTTCTAAGTATTTATTAATGAAAAAAAAAAAAAAAAATTATTATTATTAAATATATATATATATATATATATTTATATATTTATATATTTATATACATTTATATAAATATATTTATCTATCTTTTTTATATTACTACCATTATAAACATTTCACATATTTTTTTATATTATTTCTTCTGCTTTTTTCTAATTTATATAATAATTATTAAATATTATTTTATAATTATACCTTTATAAGATTTTCTAAATTAATATATTCTTTTCTATACATATTTTATTATTTTAGTTATATTAAATTTTCATTTTACATATTTTAATTACTTCTATTTAATAATATCTAATTTTAATTATTATCTTTTATTTTATATTTATATTTATATAAAATAAAAAAATGTACTGAATTAATACGAAAATTATTTAGGTTAATCTATAGAAATACTATTAACTAAATTATAACTTTCTAAATTTTAAAAAGGGAGATTATTAGAAATATATAATTGCTATCTGTAATTATTAAATTATTAATTATAATCGAATTATTAGTTATTACTAAATTATGGATTACTATTATATAAACTATTAAATTATTAATTATTATTAAATCTATTATTATTATTTTAATAAATTACTTAACTCTAAGTATATAATTTTTATTTACTGTTTTTTTCTCTTATGTTTTTTTTTTTTTTAGTTTTTTCATTTTTAGACGAATTTTATTTTTAGTCAAAAAGGCTTTAAAATAACATTTAAGATACAGTTTTTCTCGAATTATTATTTAAAAATTGCCCGTTTTTTCTTCCATTAATTTATTCACTTTTTAACAATCCTGTATTTTTATTTTCCTTATAACTTGATAAGAATTACTTTTATTAATTTTATTGAAGTCTATTTATTACCTAACTCTAATAAAGCTTATTTTATTGATTTTTTTATTAAATAATCACTATATTACTAATAGTATTCTAAAATCTTAACTCTTAATCCTCGTAGATCCACATTCCTGTATCTGATAGTCTTTTTAAAAGTAAAAGAAATTCCTTTTGGAGAGGATTTAGTTAATTTTTTATAAAAATATAATCTTAATTTTATTTTATTTAAGATTTAATAACGGATTTTATTTTTTTGGAATTAACTTTTAAATTTTTTATTATTTATTCTATTATTTTTCTTCTTTCGATTATTAAAGGATTCATTTATTTTATTAATTTTTTTATTTTAATCAATTTAATTGTGTGTCTTATTTTCCAACCTTTTATTAATGCTTTTAGGTTTTCTTTAAATTTATTTATTTTTATTAATACAGATCTGTGTTTTAGTCTAAATATGAACCCTCTATAGGTTTTTTATATTAAAATTGAGCATTAATTTGCAAATCTTTGATATTTACTTTATTAATATGAATAATTTGATTAAATATTATAATAATTATCAGTTTTATTTGAAATAATATTTAAATTTTATGGCTGTTGGAAAAATAAAGCAGGTTCTTATTAATAAGAAGATGTGTAAATTTGATTTTTCTAAGTTATATTATGTGGATTATTATTATCATTGATTAAATTTGAATTGTCATTGTCATTATTAAAATTATTAATATGATCTAAATATTGATTATAATTCATATTATTCTTTCTAATATTTATATATACAATATTTTAAAAAAGTAAAGGAATATAATAAAAATAAAAATATAAATATATATAATAAATATATATATATATATATATTATATATATATATTTATATACATATATAAATATATTTTGACTTAGTAATTATAAAAATAATTTATATAAAAATCACAATAATTATATTTATTAAAATTATTTTCATTATGCCAATAAATAAAAAAATAATTAATTAATATTTTCTAAATTTTTATTTAAAAAATGTTTATTATTAAAATTAATGATAGAAAAATCATTAAAACAGTTTTTGTATTTTATTAATCATTTAAAGATACTATATTTTTTTTAAGTATTCTATAAAAAATAAATATAATATTATAAATATTAATAATTTTTTTTTTTTTATTTATAATTAAATTTATATTTCATTAAATATCGTAAATAAAAAAAATAAAAGTTTAAAAAAAATTAAAAAATATAAATAATTAAATATATATATATATATATATATTTAAATATAAATATATATATTATATATATATTCAAATATTAAATTTATTTTATAATTTATTATTTTTTATATTGTTATTTTGCTAATTATCAATATATATATGTTATATTTTTATTCCTAATATTTAAATTATAAAGTTGTTTTAAATTTAAAGTTATATATTTTTATTTTTTTACTTGTTGCTCTTAAATATATTTTATAGTAAATATTTTGTTTATATATTTTTTATAAATTAAGATTCTGTTCTTATAATAGTTTTTTAAGTAATATTTTTTAATATTTGATTTAATTTAGTTTTTATAAAAATTTACATATTTTTTTCATTTTTATATAAATAATTATTGATATAAAAAATAATTCTAAGATATTTAATACTATAAGCATTTAGTATTTATTATCTTAAAAATTTAACATTGTATATTATTTTATTTTATATTTTTTTTAAATATAATTTTTAGTAGATATTTAATATTTTTTTATTAAACTAAATTTAAAATTTATTATATCTACTTTATTTTAAACAAAAACAGTATATATAATTAATTAGGTTACAAAAAAATATATTGATAATACTTTCCATATATTTAAATCAAATTAACACATAAACTTATTTAAAAAAATTATATATTTTTTTAAATATATTGAAATTTTATATATTATATGATTTTCAATTTGTATAATTATTGAATATATCTAAATTATGGATGTATACTATTATTTTTAGATAAACATATATTTATTATATATGTAATTTTATTATTAAATCAAAAATAAAATTGCGCATAATTTTTTATTTTAGTTTTTAAATTATATTTTAACTTTTAAATTTTATTTTAAAATATATTTAATTTAAAAATATTTTAAATTTAACTATCTGTTTATATATGTAAAAATTATGATTTAAATTCCTTGCATTTATAAATAGAAACTGAAATTAAGTAATTATTAGCCAATATAGAAATAATTTATATAATATAAATTTCTTATCCAAAAAGATAAAATAATATTTAAAATTATATAATTAACTTAAATTTTTAACTTTTATAATTATTTTAATTAAATCTATATTATTTAAAAAATAAAACCTATTATGTATAATAACTATCAAGTGTTATTTATATAATTAGTTTCTAATTATTAAAATAAATGCTATTATATTTTTTGAAAATAATTAAAATAAAAATAATTCTAAATATTTTAAATTGAGAAAAAACAAACATACATAATTTTAAAATTATATTGATAAAAAAAAAAATTAAATACAAAAATTACATTAATAATAAGAAAAAATAAATAAACCATATATATATATATATATATATATATATTTGTATATATAAAAATCTATTTATATATATTTATTTATTTATATATATATATATATTATTATATATTTATATATTTATATATTGTAATATATAGATTATAATCTAATAATATTGGAAATATAAGAAATACAAGCAATTAAAATAAATGAATTAATTAAATTAGTATTAATTAAAGAATTATAATTCTAGTGGAGGAAATACTTATAACTAGGCAAGTCGAGATAATCTAAAATAAATGTTGAAAAATTAATAATTAAATGTAAATTTAATCGAAAATTATAATATGAATATGACAAATGTATAAGAAAATCCAAATAGATAATTTACATAAATTTTAATTATGGAATAAATAAAAATTAATAATCTCCAGTTTAATAATAATTTTAGAATCAGAATTCTTTACTATAGATTTAATAAAAACCTTTAAATGAATAAAAAACAAGATAATAATAATTTTAATAAACTTCTTAAAATGCTTTTTGTAATTCTCCTTCTAAAAAAAACATTGGATATTCAAATACTTAATAATCTCCTAAAAATATGAACGGTATAATCTTTATATATATATTTTTTATTAATATGTATTTTATATGTTTTTTAACTCATATTATAGATTATTCTTCTAATAATATAGATATAAATGAAAGGAAAAACAGTCCTTTAAGAAGTAAATAATAATATGATTAATAATTCCTAGCTTAATCTAATAAAGCTTAATATTTATTAAAAGGTTTAATAAATAATAATAATTTAGAAAAATGTCAAACAAATAATTATTTAAAAACAAATTTAAATAATAGTGATAACGTATTTAAAAATTTTTATAATAGAAAAAAATAAAATTATAAATTAATTATTAAAATTTATATGTTTTTTTTTATATTAATAATACTAAAAAAAAAAAAAAAGATGATTGGAATAGTAGGATAATAATAATAAATTTTATAAAAAAATTAAAGAAATGATTCAACAAATGGTTTCAGAAGTAGAGATATTAGTAACGAAAAGTAAAGGGGAATTTCTTCAAATAAAACGGGTTAATTAACTTAAAATTAGGCAAAATAATACATGTAATAATAATAGTAGTAATAGACGAATCATAATACTTCATTTAATAATAATTTTAACGAAAAAAAATCATTAAATGATTTATACATGACAAATAATCAAAAAATAAATATAAAAGCAAACGATTTTGACCAAATAAACGAATTTAAGAAAATAAATAATAAAAATTAATAAACTTCTCCAAATTAACAAAAACTATTAAGAGATGAAATAATAAATTAAGTGTATAAAAATGCAAATAATAATTCGCGTTCAATTACTCCTAAATGCTTATAATAATAAATATAATAAATTTAAAAGTCTAATTAAAATTTAAGAGTTAATAATAATGAGAATTAAAGGTTAAATACATATGGAGGTGGAAACGATAATTATAGAACTAATTTAAATGAAAAATCATTTGCAGAAAAATAATAAAATATCTATTAAAAATAATAAGAAGGCAATAAATATATATAAAAAAGTAATGAATTATCAAACGAATTAAATAGTTTAAAATAATAGTATTAAAATACTTAAGATTAACAGTCAAAAAGTCCTTTAAGAAAGAATACAATAAAAAATAATACTACTCCTTAAAATAATAACTAAATTATATAAAACAAATAAACATCTAGAGAAAGCTCAACTGCTCCTATAAGGATTAATCAAAATAATATTAATAATTAATAATAATAATAATAATAATAATAATTATTAGAAAGAAATAATAGTCCTTCGTAAAGATAATAATAATAATAATAATAATAATAATAATAATAATAATAATAATAATAATAATAATAATAATAATAATATTAATAAAAATAATAATTATAAATGAAAATGACAAATAATTTTACTAATAATTAAAATTTAAAATTAGTTAATTAATAAAAAAATTCATCTTCTAGTAATAACTTGCTAGGCTAGTAAAATTATTCCAGTAATAATATTAGTTATTAAAATATTTAATAATAATAATTATAATAATAATAATAAAAGCAATAATAATAATAATAGTAATAACCATTAAATTAATAAAAAATAAATTAACAAAATTAAGTTATAAATGTATTAAATAATATGTCTAATAATAATAGTAATCATAAATTATAAACTTATACAAAATCATAAGATAATCAAAATTAAATAAAAATATTGTAAAATTTACAAGAAAAAATAATTAAAAAACATGAAAAGCTTTCAGAACCAAGTGTAGAATCCTTAAAAAAATTACGTAAACATAAACTTTCTACTGAATATGTAGATACATCTTATTTTAAATATAATCAAGAAATGATAAAATAATATTAAATAGAATCATAACACTAAGCAAAAGATAGTACTTGTAGTTCTACTTATTAATAAGAATAATAATTATTATAATAATAACAGCCATAACAACAATAATAACCATTATAAACATAATAATAATAACAATAATAACATTAATAACCATTGTAATAATAATAATTTCCTTCTTTTGCTAATTTAAATAGTAATAATAATAATCAAAATAATAATAAGTAATAATAATAATAATAATAATTACAATAAGAATAGAAATAGTTAAATATAAAAAATGTAAAAAATATTAACCAAAAAATCTAAATTACATGTACAGATTCTGAAATATCAAGTTATACTACCGCTTATCAAAGCGAAGAGTTATCAAAAAGTATAATTGCAAAACTTAATTTAGAAGAAATGCTTTAAATAGAAGAAAATCTATATAATCTTTAATAAACAAAATTTACTAATGTTAAAAATAATAGTAGATATTGTAAAAACTACCTTAATATAATAGCTGAATAATAATTTGATTGTTTAGAAGTAAAAAAATAAATATATATATATATATATATATATATATATATATAATTATATATTTATATATATATATATTTATAGAAAATTAGTGTAGATAATAGATAGTAAAATATTCTAATTAGAATGATAATTTTGGAAAGAATATGTGTCGTTTTGAGTCTACATGAAGCTTTAAATTTTGAAGATGAAGAGCATTTAGATAGTTTAAATAATTCTTTATAGTATGTTCATTTAAACTTTTTAATTTACTTAGATATTATTTTAAATAAATATACATTTTCAAATGATTAATAAGAAATATAAAGAAAAATTTAAAATCTATTTTAATAGAGAATGAAATCAAAAAGATTTTCTAATATTATGAATAAAAGTGATAAGTTTTAGGTTATAGATAGTTATTGTGATATTATTATGCCTATGATTAAAATGTTTGTTTCTTATTATGAAAAGGAACCTTATTAAAGTATTTTTAATATTATTGAAAATATTAATACTTAAACTGTTAGCTAATCTACTGCTATTTTAATGGAATGTTTTTCTAAAATTGTATAAATTTAAAATAAATATTAAATTATTTTTTTATTTATTTATTTATTTTATAAGATTGTTAATTTAGAAGATAAATTTTCAAAAGAAAGTAAAAATAATGAGGAAGAATAAAAAATAAGCAAAGAATTGTCTTAAAAAAATAAAGATTAAAACAAAGCTTAAAATAATGAGACAGAAGAAAGTGAAGAAGAAGAAATTAAAATCGGATCAATACAACCTCCATATATACCACCTCAAAAAAATCCAGAAAAATATACATTAGTTTTAGATTTAGATGAAACTTTGGTACATTATTAAGAGGTACTGATATATATATATATATAAAATTATATAAATAAATATATATATATATATAAATATATATATATATATTTAAATATTTATAATCATATATATATATTAATATACATATATATATATTTATTTTTTAAAATTAACTATTGTTTGGATTTTTTAAAATCTATAAAATAAAAAATACATGAATTTTTATATATTTTTTTTAATAATTAAAAATGGCGAAAATTATATAATTTTTAAAAGTAATATATATATATATATATATATATATATATATATATATATATTTATTATATATTTTATTTTTTTAGATGGAAGATGGTGGACAATTTTTAGTAAGACCATATGCTGAATAGTTTTTGGAAGAAATGGCCCAATATTATGAAATTGTTATTTTTACAGCTGCTTTATCTGAATATGCAAATTTTATTTTAGATATAATAGATTCTAAATAAATAATTTCTTATAAATTATATAGATAACATACTGCTTTACATGAAAATTCTTATGTTAAAGTAATTTTTTTTTTTTTTTAATAAATTAATATAATATTAAATTAGGATTTGTCTAAAATAGGAAGAGATTTATCAAAAATGATAATTATAGATAATATGCCTGAAAACTTTTAACTCTAACCTGAAAATGGAATTTATATATTGAGTTGGTTTGGAGATCCTGATGATAGAGCTTTATATGATTTAACTCCTTTATTAAAAGGTATAATCTTGTTATTTTTTTTTAAATATTTTTTTTTTTTTTTTTTTTTTAGTAAATTGTGACTAATAGGAAATTTAGAGATGTTAGAATTGCTTTGAAAAAATTTAGAGAAAAAATGATGGAAAATATATAAAATGGAATAGAAGATCCACATTTAAATTTATAATTAGATAATATAGATTGAAATTTATTATTATTATTTTTGAAAAAAAAATAAAAAATTAAATATTAAAAAATTTGTATATAATATGTAAAAATATATATAAAATTATATAAAATGTTAATTATTTAGTATTTTATATGTAAATTATTTAGTATTTTTTATATGTAATTTTTTTTTATTTTAAAAAAGAAAATATCAAATATTTTTATTAAATAAATTACTTTTATCCATATAAATTAAATTTTCTATATTACTTAAAAATTGCAATTTTTAAAAATCGATCTTTTATTATTATATTTATTTATTTTTTTAAAAAAAAATATAAATATTTACAATTTTTTTTTTTTTTTAAAAAAAAAAAAAAACTCTAAAAATGTTTTCAAAATCAACTAAACCTACATCAATACCATTGAAAAAAGCATTTTCATCAAATAATTAATAAAAGTAACCATTAGTTAGTAAACCTTCTATTTTACAAAATTAATCAATAAATTAAGTTTAAAAGCCATCATTGCATACTATATAAAAGAAATAATAATAAAATTAAGAAGAATAAAAATCTTAGTAAAATGAAAGCTAAAATAAATTTTAATAAAAGCCATCTTCTAAATTTACTTCTATAAAGACTGTTGACCTCTTTTCAAAAGCAAATAACTAAAACAGGTATAATTTAAAAAAAATTATTTTATATAAAAAATTAAAATTAAAATAAATAGTAATTCATTTGCTTATGTTTATAATGCAGGTGGTATACCATGTAGAGTAAATCATGGAAGTATTAAAATGAACATTTAGTGGAATTAAGGTGTAAACTTAAAAGGTAAGAAAATAATATAAAATAATTTAGAAATTTATTTTAATTATTTTATTTATTTATTTGTTTTTTTTTAAAAAAAAATAAGATTTACCTTATGATCCTTTACTTGCTACTTGTTTTGAAGGACTTACTGAAGAAAAGCACCCTTATAATTTTATTGCTTATAATTGTACTAAGGAAATGCTTGAATAAGAAGTATATTTTTTTAAAAAATTTTATTCAAATAAAATTTTTTAAAATATTTATAGGATGCGGGATAAAAAATAGTACCAATGATAAATAAACTTGTTTGGCCACTAAAGAATTCTTTATAAAGCAAAAATTAATAAAATTTCGATAATGCTTTAACTATTTTAAAGTTTAATATTTTTTTGTTATATATTATTAATTTTAAATAAATAATATATAAAAGATTATTATCTGATACTATTGGACCTAATTTAAATCCCCATATAAAAAATATACTTTAGCCTATAGTAATTTAGATGAATAAATAGTAAAATTATATTTAAATTAAATATATATAACTAAAAAAAAATAATATAAGAATGTTAAGAGAAAAAATCACAATTACTTTAAGAGCACTAGAAGAAAATGGAGTATACTATAAAAAAAATAACTTTATTTTTTATTTTAAATAAAAAATTAAAGGGAGCAGATGTAGTTAAAATCATAAAATCAGCAATTCCAACTTACACTAATGTTTGAACATTAAAAAAATTAAATTATAAATATATTTTATATAAATTATTTTTGTTATTTGTGAAATTAATATTTTTTTATAGTTTATATAAAATGCATTTTTACTAGAAATTTTTTTTTTATATATAAAAATCAGTTAAAATATTAATAAATTATTATATTAGTTGCTTTTTTATAATTATATAAATATTAATTTATTATTAAATTAGCTAAAATAAAAAATAATTAATATAATAATTAGATAATAAGAATGTCTTCTTAACTTACAGAAAATTTTAAAGGCATAAATGAAATTATAACATAAGTATAATTTATAATAAATTATTCATAAATACAATTTTAAATCAAATATATATTTTAAAATTTTATATAGATAAATGATTATGGAATTAAAATATTTAGTTAAAAATCTTAAAAACAATAGTTCATATAATAAATAGGAGATTGTCAAAAAAGAGAAGATTTTAATATTCAAAAAATTAAATCTACATTTGAAATATTTACAAAAAATATGGATTAATTATTATAGTAAAAAAAAATTAAAATTAATACATAAAATAAAATATATATATATATATATATACATATTCAGCCAAATTAACCAAGATTATGAAAACCTAGAAAAAGTATTATAAAAGCATGAAAGTGATATTAGAAATCGTATTAGAGTTATATAAATATATATATATATATTTATTAATAAAATAAAAAGACTGAACAATAATTAAAGTTGTTTATAGAATCTTTATAGTAAAAAATTGAAGAATGTGAATAAGAATAAAGTTAATTATTAAACAACACAAAGTAAATGATACTTGATGTTAAAAATGATAATTAAAAATTAAATGAATAAAAACAAAAAGTTTAATAAGAATTAGAGAAAGCAAATATTTAAAATATTAATTTAACAAACAAAGTAAAATAAAATGAGTAATTATATAAAGAATATCAATAATTACAAGAAAGAATAAAAATTTTAGAAAAATTAGTTTTTGTTAAAAAAATAATTTAATTATTAGTTTTTTATACTAAAAAAATATAAAGGAAAATAACACAAAAAAACATCTAAACTTTAACAAAAATTATGAATATCAATAAATTATTAATAACTCTTTAAATATTTAAGAACATTAAGAACATTTTATGAACAAGTAAGGTTACTAAAAATACATATATATATATATAATTATTATTATTATATTTAAAAAAATATATTAATTCTCTATATATTTATTAGTATTCATTAAAAAAATCCTTGTAATACTAAAAATTCTTCTCATTTAAAAATTATTCAAAATACAAAAGCTCCATTAATAAATAATAATAATAATTCTCATGATAATAATATAAATAATAATAGTATAATATATCATAAAAAACATGAAGAATCTAATTAAAACAATACTGAATAAGATTTTAAAATCCAATGCTCAAAATAACATGTAAACAGTTGTTTAATATAAACAAATTCGGAAGAAAAAGTTTTCTAATAAAATGCAAGTAATAAATAATAAAAAAACACAAATACTAATAAAACAAAAGATTTAAATATTGTTTAAACAATAAGATCTAGATCAAGGTTTAAAATATTTTTATTTATCTACCTATATATACATTCATACAGATATATATTTATATTTATTTATATATAGAAATGATGCTAAAAAATAATTACATAGTCACCATCTATCAGCTAATTGTTCTATTAATAACTCATATAGTAATGCAGTTAGAATTAATAAAATTAATAATTAAAGTTTAAATAATAATATTTCTTTATTCTATAACAATAGTCTTAATTAAAACAAGAATTTATAGTAAGTTAATAAAAAAAAAGTAAATGTATGTAATTAAGTTTTGAATAATTTCGAAGTATACAAATTGTCATAAATTAGTAAATAATATTCTAATTATTTGAATTAGGATTAACATAATAAATAAAATATGACCAGCATTCATAATAATAGTAGCATTAATGGCATTAATAATAGCTATTTAAATAATTGCTTGAAATCAATTAATATTTAAAATTTGTAAAAACAATGATGATTCAAATAAGGAAACAATAATATTTATAATTGTATTATTTTTTTATTTTGTTTTTTTTCTAATTAACAAAAAAAAGATTTAATTTTTTTTAAAATATAGATATAAATAAATAAAAAGTTAATTTTTTTTTTTCTAAATAAAAATTTATATATTTTTATATATATATATAAAAAAAAAACAATCAAATAAAAATGATATAAAAATTTAGTTCGAATTTTAGTAAAAACCTAAAGTTTTATTTTTCATCAAAGAAAAACATATATTAAAAACTTGGCTAATTTTAATAAAAATTCGAAGAAGGAGTTAAATAAAAATACATTAATACCAAATTCAAAGATGAGAAATTTTAATAATTTGATTTTTAACATGTAAAATAAGCAATAAGTGAAGAATATGATGAATTAAAAGATGAAATAATCCAAGAAGGTTAATATATTTTAAATTTTTTCATAACAAAAAAAAAAAAAAGGAGGAATTTTAAAAGAAGTGAGAAGAGCTCTTTTAGGAAAAGATGTTGATGAAGTTTAAGACGAATAAATATCATAAGAAGATTTTGACGAACCTCAAGAAGATTTTTTACACGAAGGACTATCCCATGATGAGTTTTTAAGACGTGCTTAGAAATATTAATTATAATTATTGTAAAAAAAATAAAAATATATATTTTATTTCTTTATATATATATATATATATATATATATATTTTTTTATAATAAAAAAAATAGCTAAAAATAAATACCAGATCCGTTTGTAAAAGATTAAATAAACTCTCAGTATGGAAATTATAGTTCTTATGACCGAAATTACTTATAACTTAAAAAAATACATTAAACAGTCCCAAAAATGGAATAAATAGCTTATGGATAATACAAATTGCACTCTTTTATGAAGAATAATTTACTTGAATAAGAAGGATATCATGAATTATGGGATGATTTCTAAAAAGAGCTAAAAGATTAAAAAGTACAAATGGGTGAAGATTAAGCACTTGAGGAATTCTATAAATTCGTGGAAGAAGTTTAAAAAGAAGATGATGAATATGTACCCGAATTCGAAGAAATGGATAATACAAATTTTGATGATCCTGTTGAAATGAGAGGTCTTGATGATCCTCGTCTTTCGCCAAAAGCAAGAGATGATATTTATGAATTGTATTGTTATTTTTATCTATTTATTATTTTAATATTTATTTCTATTTAGATATTAAAAAGGGTGGAGTATTAAAGATATATGTACTAGATATGGTATTATACCTGAAAGAACAAAAGCTGTTATTTGGTAATGTGAAAAATTTTATACTTAAATTCTTCCAAAAGCAGATCCTTTATTAGTTTATTTGACATATTAGATGGAAGAAGAATGGGCTGAAGAAGTAAAATTCAAAACATATTTAAATAAAAACTTATTTATTTATATATAAATAAATGAATAGAATGGAGGCTGGTAAGATTATGGAATTGATTTAGAAGATTTGATAGAAAGAGAAAGAGGTACACACAGTTTAACATTTGAAAAATAAAGAGAAGTTGATTTTGGTAATCCTTCCAAAAAATGGACAAAAGAAGAAAGGGAATAAATTAAATTCAGGCATACACCAAAATCTGAAAAAATTACATAGAAATTAGATGGGGGTATATATCAAAGAGGGTATCTTATTAAAGATTGGAAGGCTCATAGAGGTAAATGTAGATAAGATGTTAGTAGAGCTTTTAAAAGAATTGTAGAACATTCACATGAACCTCATAGATTACCAAGTAGTTCAATACTTAAATTAAAAAATGGGCCAAGAATTGGAGCTTAAGGATTAGGAACTAAACTTTGAATAAAATTTTTAATATAATAAACATTTTAAAGTTTATTAATTATAATTTGTTAATTATATATTTAATATTTAAAGATATAATATATAATAATTTATATATAATTATATTAATATATTTATATATATTTATAAATATTTATATTTATATATATTTTTATAATTATATATATATATTATTCATAATTATATATTATATTTATCCATTTCTATTTATCTTTTTATATTTTTAATTTATCCTTTCAAATTTCTTTGAATAAAATATTATTTTTTTTAAGAAGCTACTTTAAGTTTTTTAAAAGTTTCATTTAAATTTTATTAATTATCTTATGGTTTTTTTAATATATTTTTTTAATCTGGTTAATATTATTTTATAAAATCAATATAACTTTTTGGAACTGCTTTACTTACATTTTCAAATTTATTATCTTTGTTTTTTTATTTATTACTTTATTATACTTTACTATTTTATTATTTTTATATATAATACTTTTAATAAATATATTTAAATAATACTCAATAGCATGTTTATCTAAAAAACTTTATTTTAATTACTCAACTAATTTTACATCTTATTTACCATAGAGGCTTATTACAGTTCCATTTTTACCTGCTCTTCCTGTTCTTCCTGCTCTTTTTTATTTTATTTAAAATTAAAAGATAAAAATAATATACACTACCTATTTATATATTCAAATCCATTAATAGGAAAATCAAAATTAATAACATATTTTAAAAACGGAAAATCAAGTCCTTTAGACGCTAAATTTGTACTTATCATAATTTTGGCTTATTATTTCTAAAATTTATCAAGGCTTTATTCCCTTTCTTCTGTTTATTAAGTTCCATTATAAATAACATAATTAGTATATTTAATTTCTTGTAATAGTTTACAAATGTCATTTATAGAAATATTCGAGTTTGCAAAAACAAGTATTCTTTAATTTTTGAATTCTTTAATTAGTCCTTAAAAATTTTATTTTTTTTCAATTTCATTTTCATGGAATGCAAATTCGTGTTCTATATTTTCTAAATTTTGGTTTGTTTTTTACTCTAGAATAAGTTTTAGTTAATTTCTTTATTAAAAAGTTTCCTAAAAAAAATAATTTAATTATTTATTATAGTTCGCGCTTACAAAAATACCCTTCGTTTCTTAATTTTATATCTCTAAAATTTTTTCTTTTAATTCATTTTTAAATCCAAATTCGATAAAAGAATCAATTTCATCAATAACACAAAAAAGAAGGTTTTTCTAAATTTGAATTTGATTTAAATTATTTCCTATAAAAAGTTAATGTTTGTTATATATCTCTTCATTTTATAAATTATTGATTTTTCCTTATAAATTATATATGTTGACGAATTTTAATTTTAAACATTCTTTTTCTATTTATTTTGAAAGCTCTTTTGTAGGGGCTATTATTAAAGCTTTTTTATTAGTGTTTTCTTTTAGCAAAGATATTATTGGGAGTAAATATGCTAAAGTTTTTCCAGTCCCAGTTTATGCTGCCATGTAATAATTTTAATATTTCATACTTTTTAATATGTTTATTGAAAGCTTTTAGATAGGAGAAGGTTTTTTGATTTTTAAAGCATTTAATTGTTCTTTTAATGAATCATGTATTTAAAGATTATTAAATGAACAAAAATTAAATATTTTTCTAAAAAAAAGCATATTTTTTTGTATTAATAAAAAAAGAAGATTTTATTATTTTATTAAATATATACTATAATTCAAAAAAATATATATATAATACAATTAAACTAAAAAAATAATATTTTTATTACTATTAAAAAAAAAAAATTCAACTAAAAAAATTATTATTTTATTATCTCAATTCAATTATTCTATCAGTAATAAATTAAAATTCAACACAATCTTATTAATATTATACTTTAAGTATTTGAATTCCTTTCTTTAATTGTCCTATAATATCAATTGCCATTTCTTTCTTCTTTAAATTATTTAAGTTCATACTTTAATTTTCCTATTAATGTTCTCTTACGATAATATCATTAGCTTATTATTGTTAATTATTTAATTATTCTTCATTAATATTTTTAATTTGATTTTATATATTATATATTTTATTCCTACATTCATTTATTCTACTCTCCATATCATTAAAACCATCAATTAATTTAATTTCTTTTTAATTATTTCTCACAATAGTATTATTATTTTAAGCTACCCTTTCAACAATAGCTTCTAGTTCAAGCATTTTTGTTATAACTAGTTCATTATATTATTTTAAATCTTAGAGTTGTTTCCTTTGTTCTTGAATTTGCTCTATTGTAACTTCATTTTATATACTTTAAATTTAATTTTATTATATTTTTCCTTGTTTTATTAAAATAGATTGTTCATGTAATTTATTATTTATGTTAATTAATACTTATTATAATTATTTTGTTTATTATATTAATGCAAGTTAATTGTTTATTTTACCATGATAAAATTCAAGGACTTATTTTATTTATTAATCACTCGTATTTGTTTAAGATTATTAAGGATAAGTGAAAGCGAAAGCTTATTAATTTGGATTCATTTATTAATTTTATTGTAGAAAAGAAAAATTTTAGGGGAAATTACCAGTTTGGGTTATATTTTAATTTAATAAAGGCTACGATTGCTAAAATTAAGGTTATTATTATTATATTTGAGGCTATTATTATTAAAATTGTTAATATTATGGTTATTATCGTTAAATTAAAGGTTATTATGGTTAAAATTAAGGTTATTATTATTAAAATATAGGTTATTATTGCTAAAATTATGGTTATTATTGTTAAAATTATGTTTATTGTTGTTAAAATTAAAGTTATGGTTGCTATAATTAAGGTTACTATTATTATTAATTGCTAAATATATTCATTTTTTTATTTATATATTTAAATTTTTTTTAGTAAAAAAAAAAATAAGATACATTTAATTTGAATTTTATAATTATTAATATATATTATAAACTAAAATAAAATATGGAAAATCAAAATAATAATTTAGTCAAATAAAGCATTATAAATAAAAAAATTTAAATAAGATAAAATATTAGGAAAAAGCATATAAATCAATATTTAAAACACAAAAGAAATATTCTAGATAATTTAAATGATATTAACAAAAATAATTAATTATTTACTAATATTGAATTAGAAGAAGATATTAATTTAATTTTAATTAAATAAATAGATTAAATGGAAACTAATTATTTGTAAAATAACTAGACATTTAACAATTTTGTTAATATTATAAAATAACATATAAACAAAGTAGAAAAAAGTTTAATATAAAAACTTATTTGTTAAATGATTAAAAATTTTGAATAAGAAAAAAATAATTTCAATGTTGTTTTAGGAAGTTTGAATGTAATTTTACTTATTTAAGAATATGATAAGGAATATAATTATACTTAGATTATTATTCAGAATCTTTTAAATTAATAAAATCAATAAAATTAAATGACTTAAGAAGTTTTTTTAAATGTATCTATTTAAAAATATTAGAAATATTATTTTATCCTTTTTTTTTTTTAAAAAAAAAAAAAAAACAATAAAAAGTTATAGTTAATAATATTAGATTTAAGTGAAAAAAATAGTCAAATAGTTAACTAACTTATAAATATAAATATTATTGAAAATTTACTTTTACATTTGGATATTTTTTCTGACTTATGTTATATGATTTTATTATTAATTTATAATAATTTAACTTTTAAATGTGATTTAGAAAAAAATTCTAAATATGTAAAAAAAAAAAATTATATAATTTATACAATTAATTTTTTATAAAAAGTTTATAAATAGTATATAACAGATATTCAATATTTAATACTATTAATATAAAGATTCTATTTCAAAAAAAATGTCAAAATAAACTATTTGGAAAAGCGTAAGTTATTTGATTTAGCAAGAAGTAATTAATGTGAATTTTTTTTTAGAAAATTAATAAAATTTATAACTTTTAAAATAAACTTTTTAAGAAAATGAAGATTTGTATGAAGAGTTAATAATTATTATTTTTTACATTACTACAATAGATTAGTCTAAGTAAGAATAATTAGTTCCTTTATTTTTTGATGAAAATTGTTATATACTTAATTATTTACTTAAGAAAAATTCAGAGACTGAAAACTTTTGTTTAACTAATATATTATTATCAGGGTCTATTGTATTTAAAGAACTTGAAAAAATAAAATTTATAGAAAAAATAATTAAGAAGTTAAATTAAGAAATAAAAGAAAAATAATTCAATTATTTGATTTCTCTTATTTAAATATATTTTAATTAATTAGAAAACAATAGTTAGTTTTAAAGGATTGTCTAAATTGTTATTTAAAATAAACTTTTTAATAGATATTTTAATTTAATTGAATTATTTTCGAGTTAGACATTATTAAATTAACTAAAATTATTATAGTCTATACTAAAAGTTTATTCTTTATTTAAATAATCATAAATTTAAGAAAATGAAGAAAATTTAATTTTAAAAACTTTTGAATAAAACAATTAAATGGATTATTTTCATTATTTATAATATTCACATAGTAATGATGTATACTAATTATATGATATTATTTGTTAAGATTTTTTGTGAAATTTATTCTTAGTATATTAACTACTAATAAATTTAAAAATAAAAAAAGGTATATAGTACATTTTTAATTTTTTTCAATATAAATAAAGCAGTTTTAATATTGAACTTAATATAAAAAATATAATATAGGCATGAATTTAATATATAAATTTTTTAAATATATATTTTTTATACTAAAAAAATAAAAAAACTTTTATTAATATTTCCCGGTTCAAGAAAAACAAAAATTAAAGGAAAATTATTTCGCGCGCACATAAACAATTAAAAAATAAAAATATATATAATAATAATATATAAATATTATTATTTTAAAATTTATAAGAAATATTTTAATTTCCAATATTTATTTTTTTAAAGAATAAATAAAAAATCAAAATGAAATTAGAAAGACCTCATTTAATTTGGCACGGAAAATATTAAAGAATTCTAACTTTAGACATCCATCCTTTTATAAATTTATTAGTTACAGGAGGTTCTGACGACGAAGTTTATGAAGGAGAAGATTTAGAATTAGAAGAAGAAATAGGATTTATAAAGTATTCCAAAACTAATTATTTTATTTTATATTTAAAAAAAAAAAAAAAAAGTTATGGTGTATAAACGAAAATTATAAACCGGGCGGAAATCCAGAAATAGAGCCGCCTGTAACATTTATAAGGGCTTTAAAAAAACATTCTAACCCTGTAAATTGTCTAAGATTTTCTCCAAACGGATAATATATGGCATCTGGATCAGATGGTAAAAATAAATATTTAATAAAAAAACAATATAAATAATAACAAAAAAAGATCATAAAATTGTAATCTGGAAAATTGAAAGAAGCTTCTAAAATATATGTAGTAGTTAAAAAATATTTAATTTAGTAGCCGTCCATATATTAGAAGGTCATAATAAAGAAGTTTGCGATTTAAGATGGTTTTCTGACAATATACATTTAATATCCGGTGGAATGGATTAAAGAGCTTATATTTGGGATACAAAATAAGGCGTAATAAAATAAACAATAATTGGTGGACACAAAAGTTACATATAAGGTGTAGCAGTAGACCCTAAAATGAAATATTGTGTTACTTTAGGTAACGATAGATAAGCGAAAGTATGGCGAAAATTGAAAGCAACAAACAAGAAGAAAAATATATTCGAATATATCCCTTCAAACACTATAAAAAGATTGCCTTTTTAAGACACAAATGAGCTAATTCCTTCTGAGGAAGAAGAGGAAAATTAATCAAACGGAAATTAGGTTGAAGCTTAAAATAATTAATATTTGTCATATGGTCTTTTCCTTTCGGAAAGATAATTAAATAGTTTTTTTAAAAGACCAGATTGGAGTCCTGATGGGTCTTTTTTTTTAATTCCGGCGGCATTTTATTAGGAAAAAAGAGATTCAAAAATTGAAATGTGTGTGTATTTATATAGGAGAAATGTTCTTAATAAGCCGTCTCTTATACTTTCTACGAATAATAAACCAGCTATATGTATTAGGTTCTGTTAGAAAATTTTCTAAAAAAAAGAAGGGGCGTTTAGTATTGTGGATATTCCATATACTATTGTATTCGCCATTAGTACAATTGATAGTGTTATTGTTTATTCGACAGAATCTCTTACTCCTTTAGCAGTAGCGGGGAATATACATTATGCCATTATTAATGATATGGTATTCTTTTAAAATTAGTCTTTGATAATATGTAGTTCGGATGGACTCTGTTCATTTATTTTCTTTGAAGAAGGGGAATTAGGGGAACCTTTGAATAGTTATAATATATATATTTATTTATTTTATGAATTTTTTTTTTATATAGGTTTAGAAGTGGATTAAGAACTTTAATAAATTTTATTTTAAGAAAGTTTTTATCCTATTGATTTATTAAAGTCAGTTGTTTATCCGAAAAAAACTTAAGAATTTATTAGAAATATCATAAATAATTAAAAAAGTTTGGTATAATCAAAGGACATAAAGAGTTTGGAAAAAAATAATTAAGAAGAAGATGCTGAATATGTTGTTGAGAAATTCAATATGGATATTTTAAATGATGAAGTTCAGATTAATACGAAGCCTTAAGAAATTAAATATAAAGTTAATGAAGCGGGAGAATAGAAAAAAGTTATTGTGCCTAAAATTATTAAAAAATATTGAATTTAAATATATTAAATTTATATTTATTTTTTATTTTATTATAATTAAATATATTGTATATATTTTTCAAAAATTATATAAAAATATCTTAAATTTTTATTATATTATAATTTTGAATTAAAGCTAAATTTAATATCGAACACATATTTTTAAATAACAAAAAAAAATATTAAAAAAAAGAAGAAAAAGTAATTTAGAATTAGTTAAATCACCATAATAAAGGCAATTTAAGATTTTCATATTTTAAAGCTTAATTGATAAATTAAAAGATAAAACAAGTAATATATAAAGGTAGGTTAATTAAATATAAAAATCATTTTTTCAATATACATAAATATTTATTTTTTAATAAAAAAATAAAAAATTATCATTAAAATCTATATGAAAAACTTTATAATTCATAAGTTATTTTCTAAATTATCATATTTAAATTTAAATAAATATAAATATAAATATAAATATATATAATATATATATATTATATTAATATAAATTTAATTAATTTATTAATAATATAAAAAATTATTTTAAAATTATATTTAATTAATTTTTAAAAATTAATAAAAAAAATTAGTTTCATTGTTTTTTAAAAACTACATAATAAATTTAATATTTAAAACATTTACACTAAAAATTAATTTATAAAATAATTTTTTCTGCATTTTTTAGCGAAAAATCCTTATAATGCATTTTATAAATAAATATTCTTTTTGTTTTGATAATTCGATAGAAAAATTTAAATTTAAATGAATTTAGTTTTGCATATAAATAATAATAGTCTTTAATATTTATTTTTGTCTGATATTAAAAATATTACTGATTATAATTTTATCAGAAAATAGAATAAAAATTTACAATATTTAGTTTTTATTAGTATAAAAAATATTCTATTAACCGCATTTATATTTGGAAGAAAAAAGATAAAAATAATAGAAAATTATAACGAAGCTTAAAACAAAAATAATAAATGAATAATTTAATTAAGCTCTTTAAGCAATAAAAATTAAAATTTCTTAATTTATTTCGACTTATAAACTTTTAAATGATTTTAATTTACTAAACTTTTTTTTTTTTACAATAGATATTTTTAAAAGAGTGAATCATATTAGTAAGTTATATAATATTAATATAAATTTCAAGTAAATAACACCACTTAAAAATGAAAAATAAAATTTGTAAAATCTTATGATTATTGCTAATTAGAAATACAAAAAATAAATTTAATATGGTATATATAAATAATTTGAAATTAAGTTTAAATATGTATAAGCAATTTTAGAATGTATAAGCAATTTTAGAATGTAATTCAGATTTTAAGATTTTATTTTTTTAAATACAAAAAAATATAAGTTAATACTAATTTTTAGGAATCTTAATAAAATTAATAAGTTAATAAGTCTTGTAATAAATTTTAAAAAGTACATATCAATTAAATTTTTATTTTATTTTAAACAAAAAATAAAATAAATTATTAAATAAAAAAGATAATGCTTCTTTTCTATCGAAATGTTTAATTATAAATAGCTATACATAAAGATCAAAATAAACGCCATTAAATTTATTTTAAAAGTAAAATAAAAATAACATATTATTGTATTTAATAGTCTTTTCTTTAATAAATAACTATTTTTTTTAAAAAAAGTAAAATCACCTCACTTCACTTGATATATTAAGCAGTACAAATATTAAATATAATTTTTTATAAAATATATTTTATATTTTTTTATTTAAAAAGGCAAAACTAAGAATAATGGTTAATAAATTAATTTCTGAAAAATTCAAAATAAAAAAAATAGCTAAATAAAATAATATTCATAAAAAAGATATAATTTATATTAATATATATATCATATATTAATTACGAATATAACTATAAATAACAATTATATGTTTTAATTTTAGTTTTCATAAAGCTGATTTTATAATTTTATAGTAAATTTATTATAATAAATAAAGCTAAAATTATATTTTATAATTAAATAAAAAAATATTATTCATTTATTAAAAAACAAAGCATTTTATTATTTATATATTATTAAAATTATTTATCTATTATAATTAAAATAAAAAAATATATGATTATACCTGAATATTCAAATAAAGCAAGCCAATAATATATTTCTAAAGAAAAACACCCAAAAGTTTCATTTACAACACTTTTATTTTGCTTTTTTTTTCCAGTACTTATATTTGGAATATATTCTATTTTCATATAATCTTATTTCACAGTCTTTAATTTAATATTTATAATTGCATTAGTCAATTTAACATTTGAGAGAATTTTCAATAAAATAAATACCAATAATCAATTAAATGAATAGCTATTTAATGAAAAAATAGTTTAAATTGAAGAATATAGAAAAGGTCTATGGTTAATAAGTGCTTTAGTTTCATTGAGTTTTTAATATTCAAAATATTCATAATAATATATTTTAATGTAAAAAATAAAACCTTACCATTTAATAATTTAAGTAAAGAAGCTTATTACGATCTAGAAATATATATAGTTGAAGGTTAATCTTGGTTGCATATTGTGAAAATGTTCTTGCCAAATAGTTTTGTTTTTTTGAATTCTATTTTTGGTTTTATGAAATAATAAAATATTTCTTATTAATTAAAATATAGTGAAATAAAAATGTCTAAATAAAAAGTTAAATTAATAAATTTTTTAATGATTTTAATTTTAGGATTATTAATAGGTTTATAAGCTTTTAATTTCGGAATTATTTCTTATTTTTTCTAAGCTTTATTTATAATATATTTAGTTTTGTATTTTAGGAATGAAAAATAAAATTATAAATATATTCTTTTTTTTATTTAAGTTAATAAATTTTTCTGTTGTTTTGTTTTATTGGCAAATTATATGGTTTCGACAAAAACTTTTTAGAAATATATTAATTCGGAAAAATATACATTTTTTTTTATTGGAATAAACCATTTATATTCATTTTAAACAAATTTAATTGTAAAATAAAAAAAAAATATATATTTCATTTATATATATATATATATATATTTATATATTCATATTTATTATTTATAATAGGATAATATTATTTACTTTTGTTTTTTGTTTTTTACTTGCTTATTATTATTTAAAATTGCTGATTTTGTAAAATTTGATTTACTTTTAATAGAAATAATAAATTAAACTGAATAAATTTAAAAGAAAATAAATTAGATAAATTTTAATAACGAATTTAAAATAAAAATATAAGAAGATGATGACTAACAGAAAATTTAAAATTAAGAATTTGTTTCTTATTAATAAACTCCTATTATCAATATTGGGATATTTTAAGAAGAAAATATTATTTATTAAGAATAAAAAGAATTACAAATTTAAGAATTAATGCATTCTGAAAATTCCGGAAATGAGTAAAAATAAGTATAATTAAAATAATAAAAAATCAATTTTCAAACTAAAATTAAATAATTCATGAAACTTATTTATTTAGGATTTACTTAATTTTTAAAAAACTTTAAAAGTTTAATTTTTATTTTAAGATTTTTATAAATAACAACTATGATTCTTTGTCAAAGGTATTAATCTTATTATTCTTTAGGACTTCTTTTATGGATATTATTAACAGGACTAACTATAAACCATAATTTTACTAGAATAAGTACTCTATTAATGGCTATTCCTTCAGTTTTTTTGACATAGATATTTTTGGTTTTTGCTAATTTAAAAGATAATTAAATAGTTCCTCATTGGGCAAATAATTATTTAGGTTTTTAAAAAGTAAAATTTGTTTGGATTGAAATAATAATATTAAATGCTTCTATATTTTTCTTTTATTTATATTGTATATAAGTTAAGAAATATGAAGCTTAAAAAATCAAAGAAAAAATGCAAAAAAATTCAGGAGTAAAATTTGGAATTTAATAAAGGAAAAAAAATAAAAAATAAAAAGATATAAGTTATTGGATTCTTTTTTAGGCTTTTTTTTAAATAACTCATAAATTTTTACTTTATTAATTATTTATTGGATTTCCTTTGAAACTGCTAATTTAATACATACAGGTTTAGTTTCCCTGTTTTTGCTTTATTTTACTAATATGAATAAACTTATTAAAGTTAAAAATGAAAAATATTCTAATCTTCAAAAGAATTGTTAAAATCAATAATAAATGGTATTACATTAATAATAAGTAGAGCAGGAAAACTAATTTTAATAACAACCTAATTTATTGGAAAATGATAAAAGTAATTAGTTAGAGGAATAAAGTTCTGATATTTAAGAATAGAAAGATCTTGAAAAATTAAAACATATTTAATTTGGTAGGAGGTATTGGATTATTTTGGTTATATATGTGGAAATGTTTATTTTGGCTAGGTATGTTTATTTTTTGATTTTCTAATAATATATAATTGATAAATCTGATTCATATAATTTAATATATTTAATTGGAATTAATTATAAATATTCGCTTTTTAAATTTGGATTAGGGTTTAAATCTGATGATTTTGCTTCTGAATCTATAATATGGATATTATTTTTCTTTATTATTTTATAATATGATTCATATAAGAGTAAAATATATTTAAAGTATTCTCATAAAATTAATACTATTTTATCTAAGAAACCTTTAATTTAAAAAATATTTCCTCAATATATTGATTTTGTAGAAAAGTAAAAATAATAAAATAATTTTTATTAATTTTTTCTTTAAAAAAAAAAAAAGGATAAATTTAATATACTATTCAATAGTAACTTGGATTTCTTTTATTTTGATTTCCGGAGTTTTAATATTAACTTAATTTTCAATTATTAATAGTTTTGTTTTGCTCATAATTATGATTCTTATAGTATATTATGTTATTCATTAAGAGTTATTGACTTTAAATTTTGTTAAATATAAGCAGTTTTGGTATGCTTTTACTATAGTAAATAAAAACATAATTTTTTATTTATTTTTATTTTTTAAATAAATAAGGTTTTAATATTTTTAACTTTCTTACGTTATTTTTTACAATTAACAGGAAAATAATATATAAAAGATCATATTATAATTAATTTTGGAAGTTGGTATAGTACATTTTAATTATATAGACATTCAATAGGTTTATATTAAGATACTGATGATAAATAATTGAGATATAAATTTCTTCCTAATGTCATGAATATATTTATGGCAGTATTGGTACTTGATTATTTTAGATTAATGTCAAGAGGACATAAAGTTCAATAGTAATTGCAATAAATACATAAAAATGAGAATATTTTATAACCTCAAAACAAATAAAGCTTATCTTAATTAAACATAAGTTTCAGTAGATAACAAAGTCGAAAAATGAGTATTTTATCAGAGAATTCAATAATAAGTGATTTTGAAATTGAAAATAAAATCGAAAATTAAAATGAAATTTAATCTTTTAAAATTTATTAAAAATATCTTTTAATTGATATGCAAAAAGAATTGTAAAAATTTATTAGTTTAATTTTTATTTTTTTAAAAAAATATTTATATATATAGTCCTTTTATATAATTACCAATGAAATTTATTGCAAAATTTTTTACAGATTTAATGTCTTTTCTTGTTGTTATTTTTGCTGTTAATTTCAAAATTTCTATTAGCATGTTTTATTTTTTAGTTATTTATATGTATTTTTATTATAAAACGCATTCCGGGGTTCTTAGATATATTGAATAGAATAAATTCTATGAGTAAATTTCGACTAAAATGTTTAAATATAAGCATTAATTTTTGTTAATTTCTTAAACTAAATATAAAGAATAAAAAAATTAAGAAAAATTAGAAAATTAAGAAAAAAAGAGATAAAAAGTAGAATAATAAATATTTAATGAAGAAAATCATGTTTTATTAGAAAATATAAATTATTTAGATCAACTGAATTAATCTTTAAGAATAGAAACTAAATTAAATGTTTGGGCATATTCTTTTATTGGAAGTACTATATTTTTAATTTTAACTTATCTTTCTTCTTTTTTATTAAGTCCAATAGCTGTCCAATATTTTTACTAAGTTAGTTTGTGGATTTAATGGTTCTCTTTTATTTTAGGAACTTAAATTACGGTTTTGGATAATATGTCCAACACTTTTAGAAATATTTATTTTTATTTTCTTATTTTTTGGCTTAATGTTATTGATTGGAAATGTCTGTTTTATTTAAAAGACTAACTCGATAAATTTAAAGGTAAGTAAGCTGAATTAAAAAAAAAATATGAAAAAGAAATCGAAATTTAACCCTAATAGCAAGAAATTTAATAATAATAAAAAAACTAATAATAGGAAATTCAAAAAATTAAAAATCAAATTATTTAAAGAAAAACTCTCGAATAAATACAAGAAGATGCATCAGAATAATATTAATCAAGAAAATTTGATGATTAAGAAAATTTTAATAAATAAAGAAAGTAATTATTCATATTTTATTTTTCATATATTTTTTTTTTTAAATAAAATAAAGAAGTTTACTATAATTTGATTAAGACTTTGATGTTTAGTTTGATATAAATCAGTATAATGATGCGATTTAAAATTAAATATACGATTTTTTTTAAGGTCCAAATTAAAGTGTAGCATAAAAAAATTTTGAAAACGAAAATAATTATAGTATTTAAAATTAAAGTTAATTAATTTAACTTGAAAATAGTGAAATTTCATTAACAAGTGAATAAATTTCTAGCTAAAATTATTATAATATTTTAAATTACTATAAATATAGTACATCTTATATTTAAATGAAATTAATGTTTTCAACTTTGTTTATAATTCAAAGATTTTATATTTTGTTAATTTTGTTTAATTCTGAAATAAAAGGAAACGCTTATAGTTGGATTTATTTAATTTTAGCTTGCTTTTTTTGGGTGAGAATACCAAAGTCTTCTAATATTAGGTCTTTAAATACTTGGTCTATTTTAATAGTATTATTTTAATATGTTTTCTTTTTGCTTAATATAAATTAAGATAATTCTTTAATATAAATTCCTGAAAATCTTTTAAATTTAAAGAGCTTTTCGGTTATATAAATTTTTTTCAAAAATAACATCTATGAAAATTATTTGGGGTTCAATAGTAAAGAAAAGGGAACTTTTGTAGTTAATTCAATAATCATATTTTTAATTGAAATTTATTAAACTTATTTTATTGCTATTTGCTTAGTTATTATTAATAAAATAAGCGAAAAGACTGTTAATTAATAAAAAAAATATGATTACAAAATTTGGATAAACTTCTAATCTTGGAAAAAAATTTCTTATAAAATTTATTCATCTATATATAGAAGTAAAATTTTATATATTATTTTATATTTTTAAATAAATTATAAAAAAATAAATAGTTGTTCTATTAAACTTCCATTTAATAGTAATTATTATTTCTATCGTCTTCTCTTGTTAAGAATACCAAATTATAAATATGATAATTTTATTCATGTGCTTAGGATATTTCTTTTATTATGAATTTGTGAAAGAATGGCCATTAAAAATAGAAGAGAAACGAGGAATATTATAATTTTTTATTACCCTGAGATTATGCATTTTTTTAATTTTGTTTGCATTTACTACTTTTAAAATTCCTTATTTAGATTGCAAAATAAATTCTTGCTGTGCACATAATTATGATAATGAAGAAAGTTTATAAGAATGCATAAACTAATAAGAAAACGAAAATCCTTATTTATATTTTTTCCATAAATAAATGAATGCATTTAAAGTAGGAGGAAATATTTTCATTTTATTTTTTATCTAATTAATTTTCGATATTTTGAATTCTTAAGATTTTGATGAAGCTATAATATAAAATTAAAAAAAGTCTACTTTAAAAGCGTCTTTAATTTCTAAATGTATGGCTTATTACTTTAATAATAAAAAATTTAAAGAAATTATCTATAAATAAGAAAAAGTATTTATATATTTTATTTTTAATATAGTTATTTATATTAAAATTTGTAGAATTAATAACTTATAGAAAATGTGCATTTTGTTCAAGAATAGCTAATTAAATGGCATTAAATGATCGAATAAAAAAAATTAGATGATAATTAATAATTAGAATAAATTAACTAATAATAAGAACAATTAGAAATAGAAACAAATGAAAAAAAAGAAGTTAATCAAGAAGATTAATAATTGTCTAATTTTTCGGTTATAAAGAGGTACTTATTTAAAATGACTAGGTTTTTTTAAAAACACTCAAATCGATTTTTATTTAAAGACGAAGCTGAGCTTATAAATTTTATAATAATAAATAATCCTATAATAATAGAATATATCAAAATTGAATTATAATAATATATACTAGGAGAGTTTGATTAAATTTAATTTATTTTATAGTTTATTGATGAATATTATGATAATTTATTTAAATAATTTATTCAAACGGAATAAAATCAAATTGATTAATCTTAATAAGTTAATTAAGTGTTAAAATAAAGCATTTATTTATAAAAAATAAAAGAAAATTTAATGGAAAAGTAAGAAATAGAAGAATACAAAAAAGAAACTGAAAAGCTACAAAATTTAGAAAGAGTAAAACTTTACGATAAAAAAAACCGATTTTAAGCCTATAATGTAAAACATATAAAAGCAATAAGAGGAAAATCCAATAGTATTTTAACATAATTTTTTATTTAATTATATCAATTAATTATTTCAAATTGGCACTATATATGCTTTTTGTTTTTCGCTTTTTATTATTTTAAAAACGATGGAATGAGTTCTTTAGGTTTCCTTATTTTGATTTTCCTATATTTTATTATAGAGGAAAAAATTGCAAGCTTTTTAGTCTGGAAAATTTCTTTTATATATGTAAGTTTTTTAATTATTATAAAATTTATAATTTCCTTAAATGGGTTGGGAGTTACGGGAACAGATTATATATTTAATGATGATTCTTCATTAGTCTATGAGGGATTATTGTTTCTTTTTATTTATATTTAAATTTCTTTGTTGAAAAAAATGGGATTATATAAAAATATTGTTACTGAAGTTGAAAATTCTCATATGGCTTACGTTCGTTTATAAGAAAATAAAACAGTAGAAAACATTAAAAAATAGTCGAAAAGTAGTATTATTTTAGATAGTAATTATTAAAATGAATCAGAGGAAGTTTAAAATAAAATAAAAAGATATGGATCTTTTAAAGAAAAAGAAGAATATTTTACCGAATAATCTTTTTTTAAATAAATGGAGGATGAAATAAAGGAAAATCCTCAATTATTAGATAAAAAATATAAAGAAAATTTCTTCGAAAGAATATTTTCTCCCTTTTAGAAAAAATCAGGCTACGATTTTTACCCTTGGATAGCACTTATTTAAGTTATTATACTTTTGTATATTTTTGCCTTTTATAGCTATATTGATAGTAGTTCTGAAGGAATTCAGAATTCAATTAAGTATAATTAACTTTCTGGTAATATGGTTATTGTTCTGTTTATTTAAATTATTATCATGGTCTCGGAAAGATATATTACTTTAAGAACCTGTGGAAAAATAAAAGAAAGCGAAGTCGATAAAATTTAAGATTATATTTAAAAACAAAGGAAGGAATAAGAAAATAAATTAAAAAAGTTGAAATATCAAAATAGATAAAGTCAAGTTTTTAAAGATGAAATTGAAAAACCTAAAGAAAAACAGTCTTTTGAAATCACTTAAATAATGCTTAAATATATTTAATTGACTATAGTTTTAGTTCTTTTTTTATATTTTGTTTATCTAAATATTCCTTAACCATTCTAAAGAAATATAGTAAACTTTTTTAAGCATATTAATATTTTTAAATTTTTACTAATTTTAATTTTTAAAATAAAAAAAGGATGGATAATTTAAAAAATATACTACAAATAGCTTTTTAAGTTTCTTTTACTTTTTATATTGCATATATTTTACTTTATCTGGCTTATAAATAAAATATGGTTATAACAAGTTTAAAATTCGTAATACATTAATGTAATACTAAACATCACTAGCAGGTATATGTTTAAAAGTATTTAGAGCGATTCCTTTTATGTAATAATTGAAAGTTGTAATGGACTGGACTTTTACAGCAACAACTTTAGATCTTTTCTAATGGTTTAAAATCGAAGATATTCATTTCACTTTATATTGCGCAAAACTGGATTCTATTGTACAAAAAAATAAACCTGTGGGATAAAATACACCATGGTTTATGAAATTATCAATGGGTTGGGTACTTTTAATTTTAATTATTTTACTTATTTTCGGGCCTATGCTTCTTTTTTCTAGTCTAAATCCTACTACTTAGTTAAATTCTATTACTAATGCTAAACTAGAATTAGGATTACTATTCGGAGGAATTTACGGAGTTTATTATCCCTTGTATTTAAATTAGAATGTAAAATATATACAAACTGTAGATGATGAAGACTTATAAAATTTTAAAAATATAACTCAAATAAGTTAATCAGATAAAAGATAATTTTAAGTAAATTATTATTTTTTAAAAAAATATAAAAAAAAAATTAATTGCTTATTTATTTATTGTATATTAGACTTTTGTCTATAGCAGTTCGAGTGATGATAACTGGACAGCTTCTAAACCTAATAAAGATGAAATAAAAATGATTCTAAATCAAACCATTAATTAATAAATTAAAAATTAAGTATAATTAAAAATGACTTATTAAATTTAAAGAAGTGTAATTTTAAATAATTATATTATATATTTTTTTGTTATTTTTTAATAAATAACAAAAAGGTAAACGATTTAAATTCATAGCCAAGTACTTTTTATTATCCATTTAATACTAAATCTTTAGACTCAATGGGAACTAGTATGTCTTTAGAATAAATCAATTAACTTTATTAAATAATTAATTGTAATGCTACAAGTCCACTTCTTCTTAATAATCTTTATTTAGAAGTATATATATATAAATATACATATATAAATATGTATATTTATATATATATATATATATATATATATATATATATATATTTTAATAATACTTTTATTATTTTATTATAAAGTTATTAAGACTTGATACTAATGGAAAAACATATAAAGCTCGTCCTTTCTATAGTATTGATTATTAAAGTTATATAAAAGATGCATACTTTAATTTAATATGTTTAGAACATGGAAAAATCACTTAAGCCTAATATTTTGATCTTTAAATAGTAGGTGGAGAATAAGGAGAAGGCTTAAATTTTTATGTTTTATGTGATAAATATTCATCATTTTTTATGGGTTTTTCTATAATTACAATATATACGTCTGTTATTTTGGTTATTGGTTAATTTATTAAAACTATATTTAGTGGTGATATTTAGATTATTGTATTTTCTGATTTACCTAATTCTGATAAGTTATTAAAAATTTGTGATGCGATAGCAGTTGCAAGAGCAGAAAGAGATTTGATTAAGTATGCTTTTTTTATTTAAATTATTAATTTTTTTATAAAAAAAGGGAAAATTTGCTGTATTATGAATTAATAGATTTACTAAGATCACCTGAAGTCATTAAAATGATAACAGGGTCTTATGCAGAAACTATATAAAATAAAAGCAAATAAGAAGCTGAAGAAGTTTAAAAAATTAAATTAGAGGAAGATAATAAAAAAAATTAATGAATATATTTATTTATATTATATATTTCTAATTATTTAAATAAAACATGTTATAATATAATTAATATAAATATCCATAATTAAACTAATACAAGATGCTTTTAAAAATTAAATTAATAATTTATACAAAGTTATATAATTATAATTTCTAAATGTAAAAATCAATGAAATAATAAATTTATCAAATGTATTTAAGCTAAATTTTTATATAGAGAAATCTCTATTGATTTTTGTAATTATAAATATTATTTATAAAATTATATTAATTGATATATTTAAAAATAATGCGAAATTGATTTAAAATTACATTAGAAATGAAATATTTGTAATATGGAAAATAATCTTTGATTGTTTGATTTTTTGTGTATTTCTTAATGAGTGTTTCATAATAAAGTAAAAGTAGGAACTTAATAATGAATTTTAGATTAGTAAGCTTAATGAAATAAATATGTATTTAAAATAAACTAGAAAAATAAATAAGAAAACATTTTTAAATTTGCAAATAATATGTCATCATAAAGTAATTATTTAATACATTTTGCTTTTTAAAGTAATTAATATATTAAAATATATTTATTAATATAAAGTAAAATAAATATTTTTATTGTGGATTCATTTTTTTAATTAAAAAAATCTTTTTAATTAATTAAAAAAATCTTTTTAATTAATTTTATCTATTAATTTTTCATTTTATGACACAAAAAATAAAGTAGAAAAAAATTTAAATAGTAAAATTTGAATGCTTTTTTTACCAAATAAAATGCTGGTTTATCTTTGCTTTTATATTAAAGTTAATTATATTTTTACTTTTTAAAAAGTCTTTCAATTATGAATATTAATATTATATTAAATTTAAAATGTTACTTTTAAAAATGAATAAATAGTTTTAATTATTAAACATTAAAAAAAACTGCATTGAATATTGAAGTTATTAAATTATAAGAAAACGTAGATTAGAATTGATTTGGAAAGATAATAAATTTGATGGAACTTATTTAGGCTTTTGACTAAAAATTCTGCGAACAAAAAAAAGAAAACATTTTATAATGAAAAATCTTCATCACACAAATATTTTAGCAATTTAAGAGTTATAGTAGTCCATAAACAGCTATTATTTTATATTTAGTTAAATATATAAATGCGACAAAACCCATATATAACTTAAGAAAATAATTATTACCTATAAATAGTACATATAAAAAAATAAGGCATACTTGATAGAGATTTAAAAACAGAAAATATTCTACTTTATTCAAGGTATTAACCTTCCAGTAATTATAGATATAGGCTTAGGTACTTTTTAAAATTTAGATAATTACATTTACCCCTAAATATGGAACATATGGATATATTGCCCCAGAAATATTAAACATATAAAATAGAAGTAGTAAATACACATATTAAAGTGATATTTTTAGTTTAAAATATATCTATTATTATTTGTATATGTGTATTTTTAATATAAACTTAAATATTTTATAAATTAACATTTTTTTTAAAAAAATAAGAATAACTGTGAAACAATTATTTAAAAAAAATACATACATCAGAAGAAACAATTAATTAAATATAATAATTTTAATAGATTATGATTAAAAAAAAATAAAAATATATATATATACTAAATTATATTAATTTTATATATATATATATATATATATATATATATATATATATATATATAAATATAAGCATTTATATATTTATATTTTTATGTATTATATATGTTTTGTAAATGATTAAGATTTATATATTCTTAAAGATCTATTATCTTAAATTTATTAATTAGTTTAATAATTAAATATAATGTAAAAATAAATAAAAATAACCATATTTTAATTTATTAAAAAATTATTCAAAATTGAAATAGATATGATATATAAAGAACAAATAGCCATTTAACAATAAATGAAGAACCAAACACTTAAAAAAGTTTAAATTTATTGGATTAAAACATAAGTATAATAAATTCATAACAAAATTCAAGTCTAATTATGAGATAATCAAAATAATAATTCTAATGTGGAATAAGTGATTTATAAAAATTAATGAGAAAAAAAATTAGAGCAAAAATACATACAACTACTTCTGAATTTTTTTAGTAGAATTAATAATTTAAGAAAAATTTATATCATAAAAATACTTTTAAATAAACCTATTTTTATTTATATAATAAAATAAGTAATAATAAATATGATCTTAAATATATTGAATAAAAATATACTTAAGATTTTTTTTTTTTTTTTTGGAAACTATTATATATTTTTAATTTATTTTATAACAAATAAATATTATAATAATTTAGTTTTTTAATAAATTATTAAAAAAGTTTTGATTTTTTTTATAATTATGAATTGATTTAATAAACTTAAAGATAATATATATTACCATTATAATATTAAAAAATAAATTATAAAGGAATAATTATAAAACTTAAAAAAAGAAATAGTAAACATAAAATATAATAACTAAATAATTTACATTAAATATAAAATTAAAATATAAATAAAAACCACAACAAAATTAAATAAAATTGTAAATAAAAAATGTCTGAAATTAAAAGTAATCCTGAAGCACTGATATAATCATTTATAATTTTTTTTGATAAAATGTTAAAAATAATGCTTGATCCATAAAAAATAATAAAGAAATAATGGCTTTTGTTTAAAGAAAGATTAACATAAGATTCTATAGAATAAATACTTAAGTATTCTTAAAACTTAAGTATCTTGAAAATAAAACAAAATATAAAGTAATAAAAAAAATTTAGTAATTCTATAGAACTTGTAGAAAACAATCGTAAAAGTGATAATTCAAATCAGGAAAATTGCGAGAAAACCGATAATAATAATTCAAACTAAGAAATAAATTCATTTTTAGATGTAAATTCACCTACAAAGAGAGTACTCAATAATTAAATTAAATATTTAAATAATTTTGATGAGCTTAGTGATTTATAAGAATTATAAAAAAAAGATTTCGAATAAACTAGAGTATAATTTTTAACTTAAATAAAAAACCAAATTTAATAATTTATTAAATATACTGAAGGATTAGAAATGATTAAAGATAGAAGTTTTTAAACTGAAACAATTTTAATAGAAAATAAAGCTACTTTTTAAGCTTAAATTAATAGAGAAGATTTTATAAGAGATTTATCTATATATTCTAAAAAAACAAAATAATAATAAAAGTAAAAACAATAAATATAATAAAAATAATCTAATGAATTTACAATGGAATAATAAAAAGAATATATTTAATAATAATAAAAATAAAAAGATATTTTAAATAATTATAAAATAGATATAGTTAATAAAATAGCTTATAATAATAGTATTGGCATCGATAATAAAGATATTGTAGAAGGATAATAATAGGCTTAAGAAAATTTAAAATATTAGGATTAAAATAATTAATAATTTAGTTCATAAAAAAATATTATTAATGAATTAAATTTACCTAACTATTAAGTTGATTATATTAAATTTAAAAATAATATATATGATAATAATTATTAAAATAAATATTAATAAAAAATTAATAAAACTGATAACTTAAAAGTTATATAATAATAAAAATTAGACTTAAAAGAAAATGAAAAAATATAATATTAAGATACAGATATAAAGTAAATTAAATCTGATAATGATATTGATAATTTAATTTCTCGAATTTTAACTTAATAAAAAGAAAAAGGATAAATATAGAAAAGAAATACCTATAAACTAGATGAAGATGAACTAATTTAGTGTCTTATTAATAAATAAGGCAAAGGATATCATTAACATATAAAAAAAGATTGAAAATAATTATCTTATTGAAATAAAAAAATTATTTATAAAAATATATATTATAAAATATAAATTTTATTTATAAATCAATAATATATAAAATTAGTTATTTTTCTAATTGTTCTATATGAATAAAAGATATTAAATATATAAAAATAAATAAATATATATATATATATATTTTTATATATTTATTTAAATAAAATTTTAATATATATTTATAATTTAAAAATATATCCTATTGTGATTTATCTCAAAAAATTTTTAAATTATATTATTATTTTAATTTTTTTAATCTTTATTTACATATTTAATAGTTTTATTATTAAACTTTAATATAAGATTTTAAATTAATTTCAATTTATTATAATATTCAAATTATAACTTAAACAAAAATAATCTCTATTTTAATTCTAAATATATATAATCGATAAATATTTTCATATAGATTTAAATATCAACGTCTTTCCTTTTATAGTAAATTATCAAGTAATTTATAACTATATATATTTAAAATATATTTTCAAATAAAATTAAAAAGCCAAAAATAAGCAATAATTCTTTGGATAAATCTAATGATTTGAATTACTAATCAAATGATTTATTTTGAATAAATATTCATTAAAGCAATCTTACTCTCCGTTCAATTTTTCTTATTTCTCCTTTAAAAGGTCATAATATAAAGTATGTAATATATTTATAAAACATTTAAACACAGTGTATTCATCTATATAAGTTTTACTTAAGAATATTAAGCAGGTTTTCAATTACTTCTTTTATATATCCGATATCATTTCATTAATTTATAAAAGCCTGTATTATGTTTTCAATTTATAATATGTAGCTATCCTTTAATATATATTGAAATTTCGAAGGAATTAGTGCTTTAAAGTTTATTAGCATATTTTATATTGATTTAGTCCAATAGATTTAGGACCAATAACGTATTTTATAAAGATGTAACGTTCTTTCCTTTGATATCTTATTTTCATTTCATTTTTAGTCTTCTAGTTTTTTTATATTCTAAGTGGATTCTGTCCATATTATTTTATCTATATCTAGACTCAAAATAACCCTTCTCATATCAAGCTTTTCTTTGCAGGCACAGTTTAGAATATTAATTTCGTCTCGGATTTCAGAAGAATCGAATTATATTTTCAATGTTTTAAACTTTAATTTTGTCAATCGAAATTCTATTAAATTTGATCAATATGATCTATTTTCGTTTCGAATTTTAGATTTGTAATAATGTCATACATTGCTTCTTGAAAATTCGAATAGATTGCTTTTTAAAAAACGCAATAAATTAATTTGGATGAAAAATTTATTTAATCATTTTATTTATTTTTCTATTTTATCTGAATGGGCGTCAATATTTAACATAATTTCAGAATAAAAAAAAATATGTGTACTATTATTGAAAATTTAGGGATTATCTTCAAAATACACTTTTATAAATATTTGAACTACTCTATTTATTTAGATTCTTCCGGAAGTCTAAATATTGATAAAATCATTCTTATTACTTCCGAAAATTTAGAATTTCTAAAATCTAAAAAGTCTTTAAAAATTAATTTTTTTTTTTATTATCATGATCATATTAATATAATGGCTATTTATTTATTCATTCATTCATTTTGTTGTTAATAGCATATATATAATTATTTCTGGGATTATTATCTTGAATAATTATTTTAATTAAAATTTATTTTTAATTTTAATATAATACATATTAGCATAATTTTTATTTACTTTTTCAAATAAAAATATAAATAATCGATAAATTAGAACTTAAACTAATAAGAAATTATTTTAGAAAATCTTTAAATCTTTTGAATAAAAGCTTTAGTTTAGCTTGTTTTAATTTAAATTCTCATTAATTTTATTTAGATAAAAGAAATTTTAAAATAATTATTGAATTGCAATATAGTTGTATTTCAAAATATATTGCTTTTGATAAAAAAAAAAAAATTAAATAAATATGAAAATTGAATAATTGTAATCTAATATTAAAAAAATTAATTGATAAAAATTTAATGAAAACATCTATTTATATTAATCATTATCATTATATAGAATAATTAAAACAATAATTATTGTTTAATTATTTTAATAATACATAATTTAAAATATATTGCCATATTTTAAATTTAAATACATTGTTTGCTATTTTTTAAGAAAGTATATGCTTTAATTATAAATAAAATAATTTTTTTTTATCTAAGTCATAGATAGTGTTTAAAATATATATCCTGAAAAAAAAACAATTTAAAAAAATATTTTTATTTTACTTACAGAAGAAAATTCTTAAAAAATTGAATAATAATATTTAAGAAATAATAGTTATATTATTTTGAAAATGAGATCATTATATTTTATTCAAAATCGCTATTAAACGAATTTCAGATTTTAAATTAAATATATGAATATAATTATTTCAATTAATATATTTAATTTACTTTAGTAACAATTAAAAATAATAAAAACATTTTCTTTTATTTTTAGAAATAAAAAAAAACATAATATTAAAGCAAAATCTATGAAAGCCATTATTACTTATTTATTAAAAAATAAAAATTTAAAAACCTTTTTATTTTTTAGAAAACTATTGAATTTTATTTTTAAAATATTAAAATATTTATAAAAAATTATTACATTTTTTAATTAAAAAATTAATATAAAATATACAAATCGATAAACAAAATATATTTAAAATTTTTTAAAATAGGTTTTATATTAATTTTGGAAGCAAAAATATTCTTCTTTTTTTGAAAAATATTTAAGTATAAACATTTTATTTTATTTTTTTATAAAAAAATATCATATTTATATTAATAAAAATAAATATTTTTTTATATTTAAAAAAAAAATATGTTAAATACTATTTTTATAATTCTTACATTATTGTTTATATTTTGGTCTATATTTATTATTATATTTGTTTATAAACTAATATATAAAGACCTTAAATTTACAGAAAAAATTGACGAAAATCTGTCTGAAAGATTTAAGCCATTCGAACGTTAAGACAGAGCTTCATGGAATATGATTGAAATATACTTAGGTGCTATATTCTTACTTCCAATTCGTTCTATATCTATAATATTAATAGTTACAGGAGTAATTATAGTCATAAATATTCTCAATAAAATCAAAAAAACTATCCCTTAGTAAGAGTACCCGAAATGGAAGTCTTTTATAATATAATCTACTGTAAAAATTAGTTCTAGGTGTATTTTATATTTTTGTGGTATATATTAGATAAAAAAAAAATATGCTAAAGTATCTGATTATTTGCCAGAATATAAGCAATATGAAAATAAGAATAAAAAGCCTTCGATTTTAGTCTCTAATCATTAAACATGGTTTGATATTTTTTATTTCACTAGTTAAATTTGTCCCAGTTTTCTTTCCAAGTCAGAAGTTGAGAAAATTCCTCTTTTTGGAACTATAACTACAGCAATTTAATCTATCTATGTAGAAAGAGAAAATAATTAAAATAGAGATAATGTAATTAAACAGGTTAAATAAAGAGGATTTAACATTAATTCTGGAAAAAATTTTCCTCCTATAGTAGTATTTCCTGAAGGGACAACTTCTAATGGAAAATATTTACTTTCTTTTAAAAAGGGAGCATTCGATTCTTTACTACCAATATAAATTACGTGTATTTAATATCCTTAAAGGAATTTTAATTGCGCTTTGGATATTTTGGGTTTGGGTGAAAATTGTATAATTGCACTTTCTTAATTCTAAAATTATATGAGTGTTATTTAGTTTGATACCTATGACCCAGAATATTTAGGTTTGAAATATGAAAACGAAAATGATTGGTAGATTTATGCGAATAAAATTCGATAGATTATGATTAAGGCTTTACCTTATTTGAAAGACTCATAAAGTGGGTATAGAGATGTAAAAGAATATGAAACTATTGTTAGAGGAAATAATAATAATAAAAAAAAAAAAGAATAATGAAAAACTTATTATATAATAATAGTAAAATTGCTGAATTCAATTAAATAAACTATTTTATCGAATAATATTAATAAATTATTTGTTATTTTAAATAATATTCTAAACAATAAAATGTTAACTTTGTTTTTAATAAATCAAAGACTTGCAATTAAAAATGTCAAAATTAATTTAATATCGATTTGTTCTTTTTACAATTTATTTTTTACAATTTATGTTTTAAAAATAAAAAACTTTATATAAAACATAAATATAATTATATAATTTAAAATTAATTTAAAAAGTTATAAATGTAGGATTATTAATAATAATATTAATATACACATCCAATTTCAAGACCTTTGGATTTTTAGCAAATCGATTATTAAAATATGAATACAAATTAATAAAGAGTTCAAAAAAATAGTGCTAATTCAGAAAATATACGTATATATATAAGCTTAAAAAGAGACAGTAACGAAGAATTAATTGAAAATCGTAAATTAATTTTAATGACTCCAAGTATTTAAAAAAAATAATATTTAAAATAATAAATTCTTAAAACAAATTAAAGGTAATATTAAAATTTCTATGCTTAAAAGAATAGTTGAGCAAGAGTTTTCGGATTTATTTCCTAATGAGCCAACTTTTATATGCGCTAAAATATAAGATGAATATGGTTATTCGCTTTCAAATAGTAGCTATATATTTGAATTAGTCAAAAATAATGACCGTCTAATAGCCATTCCAGAAAAAATAGGTTCTGATATGGGTAAACAAAAAAATATATGTATTTAATAAAAATATTTAATAAGGTACCGTAAATATGCATTTAACAAATGATATATAGGAACTTTTATATTTATTAAGAAGTATGTAACAGAATATATGTTCTAAATTGACATGTAAAAAATAATGTTTAATATTTTTAAAAAAAAATTAAAAGAATCTAATTTTAATACTATTGAAAATTTAGAAAATGTTTTAGCTGTTATAATGCCTTTAGGTTTTAATGCAAGTTCGAAAATGATTATACATAATGCAGCAGCTATTTTAAGGTGTATTTTCGCTAATGAAAGATTGCAATTATTTGAAGATTAAAATAATATTTTGGTACTTAATTTGTTGATAAATTTAATTCATTTTTGGGTTTGTGAGTTAATTTTTTAAGATAATTATTTACTTTAGTAAGTAGTTGATATCTTAGAAATATTAATAAAATCATGTATTTTTTTGATATTTTATTTTATAAATATTTATATAAATAATAGAAACTCTTAGTATTAAATTAAAATCTCCTCAAATAATTAATTCTCTTATGTAAAATTCAAAGCTAGATAATGTTTCAGCTTAAACACGGTCTCGAATTATTAAAATTATTTCTCATTTAACAAGAGGAGAATTTAAAAATGCATATAATCCTAAACCTGTTTCAAGAGGATAAATGTTACATTTAAGTTCGCCAAACATAAACACAGCTTTGGCAAGGCCCCCTTTAAAAAATAGAAATAGCTTTGAAAACTAACAGGATATATTAGATAAGTTTTAATTAGAATAATAATCAATTAAAGAAACTTAAAAAAAAAATTAATATTAATAAAATATATAATAATATAATTAAAATTCTGAAGGATAAAATTATGATTAAAATTAATATAAAAATTTTAAATAAAATCTTAATCAAGATTTTCATAATAATTAAAATTCTAATTAAATTTTAAATTATTAAAATGATATTTTAGAAAGATAAACAGATAATAAAAGACCAATTTCAAATAAAAGTTATTAATAAAATCTACAATATATTTAATACATTATACATATATATTTGTTTTCATCTCTTTTTTTAATTCTTAGTTTTTTATTTATACGTTTTTTCTAATATTTCATTTATTTTATTATATTAATGATGATTAAGTTTATATTTCTATGCTGTATTATAAGCAATTCTATTTTTAAAAAAATAACATGAAATAAAAATCTGTTTATATATATTACTTTTTCAAATTATCTCCTTCAAAGACATCAATTTTAATAAACTTATTATCTCCATAATCAAATTATACTTTAAAAAGTATTTTTTAAGAAATATTAGGACAATTACTCCTATTATTAATTTATTTATTATTTTTTTTATTTTAAATAGCTAAAACTTAACTCACAATATTATTAATTTTACTTTTTAATATTTTATTCTCATTTATAAAATTAAAAGCTATTTCATAAGGATCATCATTTTATTTAACATTAAGAATGATTTCTTAATTATTTTCTAAAACCTTTACTTTACCAATAATGTTTTCGCTATTTGTACTGTTTCTAAGAAACTTTTCAATTTTTTCTTTAGATAATTTCGCAATATAATTATTAGAATTAATCAAATTTACTTATTTATTTAGAAAATTGTTAAGATTTTCACAATAACCATTAATTACTTATTCTATTTTATTTGCAATAATTTTTATTTAGTTACATGAAGCATAAATATTTAAAGCCTCAAAAAATTTTTCAGCCAAAACAAAAGAATTATCATCAACATAAACATCTAATGGAATTTTTTATTCTTAGTATTCTATTTCTATAAACAAAATAGCTTATTATATATTATTTTTAATATGAAATTATTATTAATATTATAGCTATTATTTATATTATTATTATTAGCAAGAGCTAATAGAAACATTAACTTATTATTAATTTTAATTTAAGCTTTTACTATAATTTAACCTATTTATTGATTAAAGAGGCGTTTCTAAAATAGGTATAGATGAACTTAAAATAGAATTTTTTTTTTTAACTTGTTCTACTTTTATTTTCTTATTTATATCTTAAATAGATTTTTCTAAAAGCAAAATATTTTCGTCTAAACTAAAATCTTTTTAATTTGTTTATTTCCAAGAAATTTCTGATATTGATCTTTTAGTTTTATTATTTATTTCTATTAATAAATTCTTAATGTCTTAATTATTTTAACCACCAAATTTAGGAAAATTCTCATCACTTTATTCAGTATTATATATATTATTTTTTTAAATAAAAGGCTTATCATATTAATATAAATATGCCTTGGTTTTAAAATTTTATTGCTTTTCCTCCAAATTTTTTTATTATTATTATAATTATTCTATTTATTTCACACTTTCATGCTTTTATATATTTATTTCCATTTTTTCTAAAAATTTATCTGCAGCTTCGTTTATTTCTCTTCTTGTCTTTTCCTCTTTTTTTTGATATTATTAATTATTTTAGCTATTATTATTTTCATTATTATTATGATTTTGCATTGATAAAGAAAAATATAATTAAAATTGTTATTAAGGATTATTCTTTTCTAAACAAAAACTATTATTTTTATATTTTATTTAGTTTTCTGAATATTATGATTAAGGACTTTCTAAATTTTAACTTAAATTACATTTATATTACAATTCACTATAATATGTATCTTTTAAAGGAGTTTTTTGTTCTTAATTTTCATTTTAATAATTTGATAATTTTTAACTTAACTCTATATCATCCATATTTTCATAGATGCTTATATTTTTATTATTATCCTAATTACTATTTGTTCTATTATTATTATTAACACTATCTGTTTTATTATTTTAATTAACACTTCTATTATTTTCATTTAAATTTATACTTCTATTATAAATTTAGTTACTAATATTATTTTAATCAGTATCTTAATTTTTTTTATTTATATTATTATAAATTTCTTAATAATAATCTTCATTTTCTATTTATTAATCATTTTCATTTTTTATTAATTAATTATCCTGATCTTATTTATTTTATTCTTTTTTAAATGTTTATTAAATTTGTTTATTTTCTTAAACTAGATTTTGCTATATCTGTTAAACTGAATAATTCCTTTCTTCATCTAACTTTTAATAAATTAAATCTTTTTTGCTTTTTTATTATTCTTCTTCATTTTAATTTTGATTTTCTGATAAATTTATGGAGTTATACAAAATTTTGTTATCATAGCTTTTAAATTGCATTTATTTTTAAACTTCTATTACATTTCTTTCATTTTCAAATTTATATTCGTTTTATGAGAATTAAATTTAATATATTTTATTTTCTTTATCATTTTTTTAAATTTAGTTATTATTATTATTATTTAAAATTTATATATTTTCATTATATTTCAAATTATTTTTCTAATCTTAATTTTGGTTTTCTTTTTTAATTTCTTTTGATTTCTCTTTTAAATTTTCTTTTGAATTTTCATTTTAATTTTCTTTTAAATTTGACTTTGAATTGTATTTAATGTTTTATTTTTAACTGTATTTAGTACTTTCAATTATGCTAAATTATGAATTTCTTTTGGAATTGTCCTGTAAATTATTTATCTAATAATTTTCATGTAAACTATTTTTTGAATTTTCAAATAAATTAATTTTAGAATTTTCATTTGTGCTTTCTTTTAATGTTTGCTTTGATTACTATTTTTATAAATTTTAATTTTTTTCGAAAAAATTATCTTCAAAATCATCAGCTTATTCTGTATTTTTTGATTATTAATTTGTTTTTTCTTAATAATAATAATAATCTTAGTTTTATAATTTACTAAAAATATAATTTTTTCTATTATAAATATTTTATGAATCTAGTTAATTTTAGTAATTTTCTTATTCTAAAAACTCATTTTCATATTCAAATTCGTTTTGCTCTTTAGATTCTTATGGAATAGGCAATTCTCTTTATTCGTTTTCAATATTTTTAACATATTAATGAATTAAATCTAAATTGATTATGTTATTACTATTTAAATTTTAAGAAATAGCCAAAGTTTCATTATTATTAGAAAACGATTTTTTAAAAGCAATTTATTCATTACTTTTTAATGTTTATTGTGAATTTAAATCACTTGAAATTAAATTTATACTTTTTTAATTATTTGAAATTACAGAACTACTTTTTTCAGAAATAGTTTTTTTCTTTTATGAAATTTTTAATTAATAAAGACTTTCTAAAATATTATTTTCTTATTTTTCTTATTTTTTTTCTATCTATATATTTTATTATTAGGACTAATGTTATTATTGTTAATTTTATTATTAATATTGTAATTTTTATAATGCATTATTTTAAAGAATAAGGTTTGTTTTATTTCTTATTATTTTTATTAATTATTCTGTATTTTTTTTTTATTTGCATGATATTTCTTATATTAATAAAGCATTTTCTGCTGCGAAATTTTCTAAATTATTCTAAGGAACGTGTCTGGGAAGATCTATTTTATTTGCGATCATTATTTTTACGCTTTTTTTAGGCATTTTTTAGATCATTTTTTAATAATAACTTTTTTAAAAATAAATTATTTATATTTTTTATAAATATTTTTTTAATACTTTTAGTATATGTTCTTAATTTAATCGTCTCTTTTTGTTATATCTACCATAAATATAAAACATAAAGCATTTTTGGGAGGTTCAAAATTATTTATTTAAAATTCATATTAATAATTATCTTTTTAATCAATCTTATCTATTTTTAATTTAAATATTTTTTTAAGGTGTATATATATATAACTTTTAAGTATCTATGTTAAGGATTTTTTTCCTGAATTGCTATCTCCATAAATGATGCATATTTAAGACATTTTTTTGTTTTTTTTAAGTTAAAAAGATACGTTATTATATTATATTATATTATATTATAAATATATATAATTTAAAAAATCAATATTTGCTATTTTTATAAAGAAAAAATATCTGTTAAAAATCAAGACATATATGAAAATGAATTATAAATAAATGAATTTAATAATTTTTTTATTAATTAAAAATAAATTTAACAAAAACAATTAAAGATTGAATTAAAAAATTATTTTATTTTATTAATATTATTTAAAAAGCATTAAATAATTTTTATTTCAAATTAAATATACAATATTTACCAAAAAGTTAATTAATTTTCATAATTATATTATATATATTTACGGTCATTAGATATATATAATTTCTGATAATTTTTAAATAAGATAAAAAATGAACTTTGAAATAATAATATAATTAAAACCTAGATTTCATTTATTGGCACAATTTTTACTTTTGGAGCTTTCATTATTTAAATCAGGTTATTTTAATATAGATTTTTTAGAAAAAGAAGAAAAGTCAACATTTGTAAAAATATTAGAGTAATTTAAAACTACATTTTTTTAATTCTTAAAATTAAACTAACTAAAAATATTAGTTAATTATGTTAATATTCTTAAGATTTTATTAAGTATAAATAAATGTAAATATAATATTCTTTCTGGTAATATTAAACTATAATAATGTTTATTCTTTATTTTCAAATAGGTTAAAATAAAGAGGTTTTTTAAAAGTTGAACATAATTTTGAAGATTTGGTTTATTTTAGGAGTATTAAATGCTCAACATTTTTAGATTATTTATATAAAAAGCAAAAAGAAACATTTAATGAATAAAATGTAAAGATAATAAAAAAAATATATATTATTTTTAAATTAAATAGATTGAGAAAATAATATAATTTATAAATATGTAATTTGATAATATATTAAAATCCAAATATATTATATATGACTGTTCTTTTAACTAAATATCTCCTTTAACTTAATAAGAAGTAGAATTTTGTAATATATATAATATTTATTTTCTTTTAAAATTAGATTACATTGATTTAAAATATATTTAATAAATTCGATTTGTTAAACGTAGGATTTATTGAGGAAGATAAAATTTTTATTTTATTTTACGTATTAATTTTATCAAAAAAAGAAAAATAAATTTAAAACGAAAACTTAGTAAAGTCTTTTATTCTTTTTAAATAAAAAATAGGTGTTTATGAAGGAAAATTGACAATTAGATTTTTCAAAAAATATTTCGTTTTTCATTAAATATATAAAGAAAATGAAATCAAAGAAATAAATTACTTAATAGAAAACTTCGAAAAATAAATAAAGAAAAGACTTATAGATATTGCTTTTTATGAAAGTTATAAACTAAGTTCAAAATAAAGAGAAAATTTTCGAATTTATTAAGAAAAAAATTAAAATTTATAATAAATTCTTAATAATAATAATGAAGAAAAGTTAAAAATTTTAATAAAATTTGATAAATTTGCACTTATTATTTACTTATTTTTATAAGAAAATTTCATTTCATTAAAATATTATTTTGAATAAGAAAATAAATATTAAATTAATTTGTTTTTGAATGAATTAACTAAAATATTTGTAAAATTACACCATTAAAATAAATCTATATTAACCATGAATGATAAAATAAACGACCATTTTTATGTTTTTATATACATGTATGAATCTTTGTTTAATTTATTAATTGCGAATATATAAACGTAAAAAACAAAAGAAATAAAATTAATTAATAGTAATAATAATAAGTAATTAAATAAAAAATTAAATGAAAATTCTTCATTATAAAAAAAAATGCATAATATTTCTTATTTTGATATAACTTCTGGGATAAATAAAACTTAAAAAAAAGAAGAATAAAAAAATCATTCATATAATAATTATTCAATTGATATATATTGAATATTAATATATATATATATATATATATTTTTTTTTTTTTCTATTTTTTAAATTTATAAAGATACAAATTTTTTGATTTTTTTCATTTAAACATTGAATCTAATTTAAGAGGCTTATAAATGCATGTTTTTGTTAAAATTTCTGGATTTTAATACAGATCAAAATCATAAGGACTTACAGCTTTTTCAGGAGCTATTTTTCTTTAAAATAAATCAACTGGATTTTAATAAGGTTCTTGATGAAAAACAGATGAGGGAATATCTTTTATTTATTTTTCTAATTGAAGTGTACTATTTTAAATCCTTGAATTTTTTAAAAGAATTCCTTTTTTTAATGCTGGACCATCTCTAATTCCCTTTTTTAAAATTTTATTCAGTATTATTTTTAAATATTATTATTTTAAATACTTTTAATTTATCTAATTGACTTGGATGTTCTTACATTTATTTTTTTATGTGTATATAAGCATCCCCTTTAAGTTTTTTTTACCATTTTTCAATTTCTTTTTTTTTCTTTTCTCTTTCTAATCTTTCTTTTTCAATAGCTTTTTTTTATTTTATTATTAAAATTTTTTATTAAAAATATTAAAAGTTTTATTTTTTTATTTAAACGTTTTATTTTTTCAGTTTCTAATATTTCTGGTAGAGAAAAAACATCAATATGTCCAATATATTAATTGAAATCTTTTTTGCTTTTATCCCTGATTCTTTCTTTTGAAAATTTAAGAGATTCTTCTTATTTTACTCTTTATTCATAATAAGGATTTTACGCAAGATCTTCTATGATGCTTTCATGTGGTTTTTTGGGATGTTCTTTATATTATTCTAATGTTTTTGGAGGAACAGTTCTAAATTCAGGTTTACTTTGTAATTACTAGTTATTTAATTTTTTTAAATTATATAAAATAAAATATTTATACTGTTTTTTCTAAAGTTAAAGCTAATTTTTTTTCATCTTCTACATTATAGGGATCTATAGATAAACCTAAATATTATTCTGAATAAGTATAGAAAAAAATTTTATCATTTTTTATTTTTTCTCTTTATTCTCTCATCAATTTTTCATACCAATTATTTTTTTAGCAACTATAAATATATACAGGCTCATTTTCTGGAATTTAAACAACATTTTATATTTTTATATCATTTTTTTATATCGTCCCTTTTAGTTTAGTTTAATGAAGATACATTGTTTTTCCTTTTAAAGATTTATTTTGTTATTTAGGCAATGAAAGTTCTTAATTTTTTATTTTTTTTTAAATATGTTAATTTATTAAATTTAGACTTTTTTACATTTATTTACCATTTTATATCGTCATAAGATTTCCTATTGTTCCTGCAGCTGCTAATTGTGATTACTTTTAATTTTTTGTATCTACACTTATTGCTTAGGTAGTTGCAGCAAATTATTATTATTTTTTTTTGGTTTATTTAACATCTACTATGTGGCCGTATATATCTTCAAGGGTTAAAGAATCACTATATTTTCTTTCTATGCCAATTAAATCCTTTTAATTTTTTATTAATAAATAAATTAGTTTTTAAAAAAGTAAAATATAAACATTTGCCAAAGGAAATAAATCAAATTAATAAAGAGTTTTCATATTCTAACATTTACATATTTCTGATATTTAATTTAGTGCCTTGCATATGTTTTCAGGGACTTTAGTTCTTATATATATATCTGCATTTTAAAGTATTTATTTCAATGTATTTCTTAATCTAATCTATATATATTAAATATTCTAATTTTTTTTTTATTTATTTATAAAAAACTCTTTTAATCTCCAAATTGAAATCTTAATAAATTCTTTCCTTAAATTTAATATCTGAATTTTTCAGAATTTTAAAACTTTCACTATTTGGTTCATTTATAGGAATTTTTTCATCTAACCTAAAAAAAAAATTAATTTATTTTTATGTAAAATAAACAAAATACAATTTCATAACTCCATCAGATAATCCTTCAAAAACAAAAAGTCTAAAATCGTCATCTAAAATCTCAAAACCACCCAAAAAATCTAAAACTCTACTATTTCTTTCTTGTTCAGTTAATTTTTTAGTAGCAATAGCCCTAATTCCTCCTTATTCAAATTAACCAGCTTTCATATTTACTTCATAAAATATTTCTTGAATTTTTTCCACCATTTCTTAACTTTTATAAGGCATAAAATACACCACTCTTTCAAAAACAGGCAAATTATTTTCTTTGACTATTATTTATTCAACAGGAGCAGCCAATTCGACTTTAGTTTTTTGCGCTTTTTTATCATCTTTTTTCTTACTTTCATGCTTTTCTTCTGGAATATTTATCAAAGTAGGTTATTTTTCTGGTGCTTTAAAGCTTCCGAAAGGATAAGAGAGGTTAATGGAAATAACAAGAAATGTGGAAGAATCAAAATAATTAGAGGAGCTAAAAATATTTCGAACATTTCTCTTCGCAGTGGTATTTAAATCCAAATTATTAGACTCTAAGTCTTCATATTTCTTCACTGGTATTACTGGACCCCTTAATTTGACATCTCGGACATTTTTATGTAAAAATCACTCAAAAAAAAGCATGAAACTCCAAAATTGTTCCTCTAAACTTCCTTATTTTAGGCTTCTTCCTTTATAGGTTCTACTTTTACATCTCCTTTTTTCTTAGCAGCATCTTTCTTTGGAGCTTCTTTTTTCATCATCTTTTTTCACATCTTTTTTGGCAACTTTTTTACCTCCTTTTCCAGTTTCTTCAATTTGGGGTTTGTTTTTTTCCTTTTCTTCTAGAATTTTTTACTCTATATCTATAAGGGCTAACTCTTATTTTATTTTGGTGTCTATTATTTCATCTTTATCATGTAATTCTAATTTTAAAAAACTTGAACTATAGTTTTTTTTTTTAATATAAAAAAATATTAAATTATTATTGTTTTTATTTAAATTAACCTTATTTTCTCAACTAATTCCACTTAATCCATCATTCCACATAAAAATACATGTTTTTCTTACCATTTTATAGTATTTTTTAATAATTTTCCACTAGTTTTGACTTAAGTGCCGTCAAAAAATTAGTACTAAACATAACACAGTTCATAATTTTTATCATTTGAAACTGGTAAATCCTTTGCACCTATAATTTCGATTTCCATAGGATTTATATAGTGTTTATATAAAGATAAAAGTAAAGGCTTATCTGCTGAAATTTTTAATTTGAAATCATCTATTTCATATATTAATAATTTGTTATTTTCGTATGTATATTCGACTTTTCATCTTTACATGTAAGTAATTGGCTATAATCTAAATTTATTTCTTGCTTTATTTTATTAACTTCTGAATTTACGAAATATATGTAAAATTATTGCGAAGTTATTAATTTGCAAAAATCCTATTTTTTATTATTTTTTTATTTATGTTGGTGTTTTTTACATCATCTATCCTTATTAAACTAAATTCCTTCGAAAATATTAAAATACTTGGATCTTATTTTTTTTATAAGTATTTATTTTTTATAAAAAATACCATTTGGATCTTTTTTTGCCCAATTCTCAATTAATTGTGCATCGTATCTTTCAGTTTTTGATGTTTCTTGTGAAAACCATTCCCACATTAAAACAAAGTTTTATAAATTTGTTTGTTTTATTTCGAATTCGAATTTGAATATTACATCTTATTTTGGCATTCCTGATTTATCTAGATTTTAAATAATCTATTTTATAAAAAAAAATAAAAAATATAAGTATGTATTGACGATTATTTATTATAATTATCACATCTTTTTTTGGGTCTTTTTTAGGAGCCATATTTTTTATATTTTTTCTTGTTTATATATTTAAATTTTTATATTTAATCTATTATTTAATTTTATGATAGTTAATATATTTTTTTAAACAAAAAATGAAACTTTGATTTTTATTCAATAAATATATATTAAAATTTTAAAGAATAATAAAAGTAAAAAATTACTATAATTTTTTGTAAAAATTTAAATTTATTAATCTTTAATTTTATATTTTTATTTAAATGTATATTATTTTTTTGTTAATTATTTTTATATTTAATTATTTGAAAATTAAAAAATATATTTTTTATATTAATTTTCATATTATTACTAAGTTTCTTATTAAAATTAACTACTTTATTTTATTTCATTAATTTAAAGTTTAATTTAATTTTTATAAAATTAAATTATTATTTAAAACTATTTATGCCTTTTTTATTAAAAAATTAAATAAAATAAAATAAAAAATAAACTTTCTATTCTTAATTAGAAATTAATTATTAGAACTCATTATTATCGATGTCTAAAATAAATGAAATTTTATTTAAATTAATACTTTAATGTTCATTTTTTATAGAATCTTCATTATAAATCTATTATTAATTTTAATTGTCATCTTTTTAATATTAAGAATCAGTATAAAAACTATTATTACTTTTTTATTTTTATTATAAACTTTTATCTTATATTTCATTATAATTCGAAGTTACATGAATAAATTAATCTAAACCATCTGTTTAATATTTATTTGGAGTTTAAAGTAAATCTTAAACTTATTAAATTTAATTATGATTATTATTAAAAGACATAAAATTATGTATAGCATTTGTATTATTCTCTTTTAATTATATTTGATTTTCTTCAGATATAAAATTTTCTTATTTTTAAAAACTTACATAGTTTCTTAAATTTTCTTAAGGTTATACTTTCTAATTCTTAATTTCTTAAATAGCATTATTTAATTCGACTTTTATCTAGTTACCAAACTATATATAATTTTTTTAATTTTAAAATTATATTTAAATTTTACTTTTTTTAATTCAAATCCTATATTAAGATCTAATACAAAAGAATTTAAATTTTACATTACTATTTATGATTTTTATTGCATTTTTTCCATATATAATTTTTAAACTTTTAATTAATAAAAAATATTATATATATATAAATTTTAAAATAATAATACTTTACAAAGTTTCATCGACACTGTTATTTTAATCTATAATATGCGAATTAAATCCTTTTGATATTAAAGCTAATTCAAAAGAATCATAAATTAATTAACTTTTTTAAAAAATAAAAAAATATAAATTTTAATTTTTTGCATACATAATGTTATTTTTATAAATGCTAAAGTTGATTTCTAATATATTTAGATTACTTTATATTTTTTCTTTTATTTAAGTTTCTTAATTATATAATTCTTTATACTTTTATAATTATTGCATTTATTAATAAGCTAATGTTAATTCTTCTTTAAACTTTTATCTTTCAATTTTTAATTATTCTTTTTGTTAATTGTTTTCTTACTAAAGCATATCATTTGTATTTTTTTAATTCTCAATTTATAAGTTTAATTTTTTTATTTAATTCTAAACTTTATTTGAAAAAAAATAAATAACATAAAATATTATTTAAAAAAAATACATTAATAATAATTTTTTTCATCTTATAAATTTTAAGGAACTTATGATTATTATTTGTCTTCTTATTCTTCTACTTTGTAATATTTTTCAATAATACTTTAAATTGACTACTAATTTTTTTCATAGATATTTAAATTTCTGCAACTTTTATTATTATCTTCTAAAAATAAATTCAATTTATTTTCACTAAAATTATTATTCAATTTTTTTATTTTTTTATCCAAGACTAATTATATATTCTAAAAAGAGCTTTCGTTAAAAAAACTATTTTTATTGACTTAAAGAGTTTGAATATTTTTAGGTGTTATATATTTTGTATTATTACTATTTTTTTGTTTGAAAACATTTAAAATGTTTTAATTATATTGCAAAACATTTACTTTACGGGTTTATTGTTATTATTAGCTTTATTATTATTATTTTATTGAATTTAAATTTTTGTTTTAACTTTTATTATTGAAATTTTCAATTTCTTTTACTATTTTCTACCTTATTGGGGAAGGAGTTTTAGAAATATTTTTTTCTAATTAAGTAAATGCATTTTTTATAAATGATTAATTATTATTTTTGGCTATTTGATGTTACTTTTAAGTTTTTAAATTTTGTACTGAAGATGAAATACATAACTAATTTTTAGGATAGTTTTTTGTATTTATTTTGATCATATTTTATTATATTATTATATATATTTTTTGTTAAATTATATAATTATATACAAATATATAAAAAAAATTAACGATATTTTTCTTTTTAAATACAATAATAAATTATATTAAATTAATTACTGTATTTTTAAAAATAATTATAATATGTAATGTTTCAATTTTCTTATTCTAAAATTTTTAACTTAATTGTTTATACACAATCTTTTATTTCATCAACTTCATTTTCTACTCTACTTTTAATTAAATTAATTTTATAGGCAATTCTATCTATATGTTTTTCTAATTAAATTATATTTTATTTTATTTCCTCTAAAGGAATTTCATCTCCAATAATAACATTTTTAAAAGTAAATTAATTTTAATATTTTGTTTTTCCTTTATCAGTTACATATGTTCTAAAAATTTCATTTAATTTATTTTCTGTTACAATAACATTTTCATCAATTAATATTGATCTTAATTTTTATTTCTTTTTATTTAAAATTTAAATATTTAATATTAAATATTGTAATAAATAAAATACCATAACTTTATTATTTAATTTATTAAATTAATAAGAAAATTAAATCATTTTATTTTTAATATTAACGTATTTTTATAGTATTTTCATTATCTAATGTTTTGGAATAGCCAATACTTTTACAAAAGCATCAGCTACATAATTATATTCACTACAATTTCCAGAAAAGCAATTATAATCTCCAAAATAAGATCCTCTATTTAATATATGAGACACTTTCTTACCATTATATTAAAAATAAAACATGACCTTTTTTAAAAAAATGATAAAAAAATTATTTAAAAATAAAAATAATATAAAATACCTATCCTTCTAAAATAAAATATATTTCTTAAAATTCATCGCCTTGTTTAAGGATCGACTCTCCTCTATTATATCTAAAATATAAATATTTTATTTAAAATATTAAATATTATGGTACTTTCTTGGCAATAATTTGAAAGCAATTTCATAGTAAAAATTAGAATCTCTAAAATCTGAAATATGAAAAAATCTCCTAAATAGTTTAAAAATATCATTAAAAAGGTAATTGAGTAATTCCTTCCTAATAGGTTTCGGCATCATTTATAAATAATTATCATCAATCTTTAAATCACAAAGTCTATCATGTTTCCAAAAATAATTAAAATGGCAATCAATTTTTTACATAAGAGACTAAGGTAAACTCTTAGAATTAAATTTAGCTAAAAATTTTAAATAATTTATATAAATATTTATATTATATATATATACTTAAAGAAGTAATCCATCTTTATAAATCTGAACTTTTTTATCCTTCTCCTAATTTTTTTTAACTAGCCAATACATCAGTAAAATTTCCTATAATATAAGAAAAAAAAGCTATACCTAAAATCATAATAATTATCCCAATTATCTTTTCGAAATTTGTTTAAGGAGAAAAATCGCCATAACCAACTGTTGCTAAAGTAGTCATCACAAAATAACAACATATGATCAATCTTTTACTGTCTGGGTAATTATATAATCCAAATTTTTCATAAAAACTAAGTGTTTTTCCATCTCCTATATTTGAAGTGATTACAATATACCAAATACATGCAACAAAATAAGTTAATGTAATTGCAAAAAGCATAAAACTTAAAAATTTATATAAATATCTTAAAAGAAACAAATAAGTCATTTTTTATTTTTAAGAAAATTATTCAAGCAATTAGTTTAAAATTTCGTCCATTTTTGAAATTTCCAAAAGCCTTAAAAACTTTGGCATTCGAAAAAATCTTATTAATTTTAAACTCGGACCAGACTAAACTAAATACTCAAAAGGCAAAATAGCTGTAAAATCAATCCAAAACCAAAATTTTAAATATCTTTTGGCTATAAGCCTTATATCGCTTACTGTTTCTTAAGACTCATGGTCTTTATATTCATGAAAAAACCTCAAAACAATATCTCCAAGAAAAAAAAACTCGATTATAATATTTAATATTTTCAATTTATCGAATTCTTCAAAACATAAACTTTAATATATTTTAGTATATATATATAAATTATATTTTAGTACTTTTTTTTTTTACTAATTAGCCATTAAGACACAATTATAAGCTATACATCCTAATATAAATATATCCCAAATATGTTTATATGGATTGTCAATTTTTATTACAAATCTTTATAACAAACAATTTTTTTGTTATTTGGGCTCTTTTAGGTTTAATTTCATGAAATCATTAATTATTTCATCCATTTCTTGTTCGATAATTTATATGTTATTTAGTTTCCTAGAGTGTTTTGTGGGTTTTCCAAAAAGTGCTAGCTTTTCGTCGTCATTTAAATATTCTAAATTTAAATTGCTTTCTGTTATCATAAGTTTTTCGTATATTATTTACTTTATATAGCTTATTATGTATAATTAATAAAAATAAAATGTTTTTTTTAAAAAAAAAAAATTATTTTTTGCTAATAACAAAATTTTATTAAATAAATTATTTTATTATAAAAGTTCAATATTTTATTAATTATTTTAATTTAAAGAATGCATTATATTTTAAAAATTTATATTCAATGTAATGGCAAAATTATTTTAAAAACCATTTAAATAAATAAGAAATTAGGAGTATAATATATTTTTAAAATATAAAAAGCAAATAGTCTATAATTATTTATAATTTTTATTATAATGAATATTATTCTTTTTTTAAAATAAAATATAAGCAATTATGCAATAAGCAAATATTTTGAAATATTATTTTAAAAATATTTTAATTTAGATATAATTAGTTATATTGTAGTAAAAAAAATATAAATAAATTATACTAAATTTTTATATTTTTATAATTTATTTATAGATTCTTTGCACAATAATTTATATAAGAAATATTATTAAATAAAAATAAATTAAAAATCATATTTGCACACTTTATTTAAAATGTTTCTTGTTAATGAAATATGGACTATATTGTATCTATAAAAATAAATTTGAAATATAAAATTTATTTTAGAAAAAATTTTAAGATTGTAAAAGGTGTTTATTCTTATTTAATAAATAAATGCTTGTATTATAATTATTTTTCGAAAAAAAAAAATGTATTTATAATAGAATAAAATATGCTGAAAAAAGTTAATAAAAATTAATTTATAAGAAAAAACTATATATAAATTATAAAAATATCTTTTATTAAAGTTATAATTATAAATACATTATATAGAACAAATTTAATTTTAAAAAAAAGTTAAATTATAATTTTAGACTATAAAAAATAATTGAAAAATAAAATTAATCATTTTTTTTAGTTTTGTTTTAAGATATTATTAAAAATAAATATTATTTATTTAAAATCAATTAAAATAATATTTAATTTTTAGAAAAATTCTAATTTTAAAAACATTTTTTATATTAATTATATCACAAACATTTAAAAAAAATTCTTTTATAAATTAATTAATTGTAAGAAAAATAATTATATTTAAAAATATGAAGTACTTAAAAAAAAAATATTATAAAAATCAAATATTAACATTTATTAAAATAAAAGAAAAAATAATTAATCATACAAATTATAAACATACATAAATATATTTATATTAAAAAGAAAAATTAATAATAATTTTATTAAAAAAACAATTTAACAAATAAAAAAAGAGAAAAAAATGACTAAATTATTAACTATCTTCATATTATCCTTAGCAATTTCTTCCACTTTCGCTAAAATTAAATTAGATCACTGCTTAGAAAACGCTGGTGCTTTCGCCGACTAAGCTTAAACCTTCATCGTAGAAATAAAATCTCACTAAATGGACGTTCATAAATTCCTTAATGAAACCGTCTCCATGATCTAACAAATAAACACAACATTAACCTCTTGTAATTTCAAAGTACCCGTTTTCTTTCCTACATAAATCGCAAATTAAACCGAATGTATTAAAGATATTGAGTCTTTAGTTGCTGAAGTAGGAGCTATAGCTGTTTTAATCAAAGAAAAGAAATACCTAGATATTTTAAAATTAGTTGAACCTTTAGTTTAAACCTTAAAGAGTGCTTAAAATGACTGTAAAACACAAACACATAAAGTTGAATAAAAAATTCTTTTAAATTCTATCTATAACGTACACCCTATTTAATGTTTGAAGGAAACTATCAAATTCGTAAGAGAGGCTAAATCACTTGAAATAGAAATCTAATAAAAACACATAACCGAAGCAATTAACTAAACAGCTGTTCTTTTATAAGAATTACCCAATACTTTACTTGATTGTGGCCTCAATAAATTACATGATGAACTCAAATTTTTAGAAAATATTGATTTTGTACACTGTGGTTAAGATTTGACAAGTCTCTATACTTTAGGAAGCAATATTCATGATGATTATAAAGCTTCAAATTTCAGTAAATTAATTCAAGACGGAAGAACTTTCTTCTAAGTAGCTATTGATTTATCTGCTGAATGTTAAAAAAAACATGCCTCTAAATTCATCTTGCAAAAATAACCTTTCTAAGATAAAATTAACTTCAACTGCTTAGGAAAATCTTTCGAATTAATCAAAGAATTATCTGATTTCGTAAAAAGTATTAAAGAAAAGAAATACGATGTAGCTATTTTAATAACTTAATTATAAAAAGTTTTAAAAGAAGCACAACCTATATGTGATGCTTGTGGTTTTGATGTAAAAATCCCAACTATTGAAGTCAAGGATGCCGAAAAATGTGCTAATGATATTGCTAATGCAATCAATGAAATCGCTTAACTAGTTTCTGATGTGCAAAAGAAAGATTTTGCTCATATTGTTTAAGATGCTGAAAATATTATTAAAATTATTACTAGTGCTGTTTAAGATTGTAAAGCAATTTGAATGAATATTTTTATTTTTAAAATATATATTTCTGAATATTTTTTTTAAATAAATATTAATATTATTTTTTATTTATTATAATATATATTTTTTCTCAAAAAATAAATAAATATAATTTTTAAATATTTTATGTTTTAAAAATTTATATTTTACTTATTTTATATTATTCCTAAAATAATAAGAATAAGTTTTCATATATTTTTTATAATTCCTTAAATAATAAGAATATTTTTCATATTTAAAAAAAAATATTATAATGATGTTTTTACATTTAAAAAGTTAATTTTTATATCAAATATAAATAAGAATTAATAAACATATAAAATAATATATACACAAACAATCAAAGATTTTAAGAAAAATAATTTTCTAGAAGATAATTCGCTTTATTATAAAATAAAATATTTTTATTATTTAGAATTTCATTCATTAAATTTTCAAACCCTAAATTTTTCAAATATTTAATAAAAGCCTAACTATTAAAAACATTTAAAACACATATAAAAGCATCTAAAATATAAAATATTATTTCTTACAAATCTTCATCATTCTTCACATTTTAAGCTTTTTGTATTAAAATACTATAGACTTAGCTTTCAAAGCTTTATTAGATTAAAGAAAAAGTGGCATTTTTTTATAAATTACATAAACAAATAATAGCATTATTATCAAAATCAGCAAATTTAATAGTTAAGTTCAATATAGGGTGAAACACTATATATTTTATAATATCAAAGCTGCACACAGAAATATTTGAAAGAGCCCAAAAAGACATTTCTCTTATTAATTAAGTATTATTTAATTCAATAAGATATTAAAAAATATCTAAAATTTTAAATTTATGAATGAGAATAGATATAGGTTCTTCATTTTAGCTCTAAATAATATTAGAAATAACTTTAAAACATAAAATTTACAAACCTTTATTATTAATTTATATTAGAAAGTCCAAAATTTTTTAAAGTAGTTTATTAGATTCTTCTATTTGAAAAACCAAAACTAATTCTTCCTGTTTTTCTTTAGTTATATAATAAAAATAAGTAATGAAATAAGAAATGCATTAAATATCATTTATGTTATCCCATATTTATAAAATAAAAGAGTTTATGTTTTCTATCTTTTTTTTTAATTGGTAAATAATAGAAAAAAAAAAATATGAAAATTTTACTTAGTTAATTTTAAGTTATGAATCTCTTCCAATACAATTTAAAAACCATGCAAAATTAACACTTATACTTTTATTATCTATTTAATAAATTTCTTTTTTGTAAATTTTTAATATTTTCTCTACTACTTCTTAATTTAAATAATAGTTTTTTGGGTTTGTTTGATCACAAAAATAATGTCCTATTATTATAATAATCTATTTTTTTTTTAATATATAAAAACTATAAATAATTATTTTATACTGTATCTATTATGTTTATATTATTGGTATATGTGTTTAATATATTCATCAATTTATCTTTTAAAACTATTTAATGTATTTTTATATTTTATATACAGCTCCCGATAGTTAGATGAGAAATTATATTTAAAACTAAATTTATTAAAATTTCATTTTATTCGTATTGTTTTTCTAGAATATCTGCAAAAGTTTCTAATAAACCACTTTTTACGATTTTTGAAACTATCAAATATTAATTCTATTGATTTTAAGATAAATACATATATAATTAGTTTAAAAGTCCGATTATTTAATTTATTTATTAATTTATTATTAAATATACTAAATCTTCATAAAATTAATTTAATTCTTCACTTAAGTTCTTTATTTTATTTTTAAATTATATAAGTTATTTATTTTTACATCAAAAGTTTATGAAAAATAAGATTTTTGCTAAATTTAAGGAATTAAAAGTAAATTCTAGAACCTTTTTTAATTTATTTTTTAATTTATTTGTTTATTTCTAATTTCTATTCTAAATTTTTATTTTTAATAGCCTATTAATTACTAGTAATTAATCATTTTTTTATTTTAAATATTATTAATATTTTTTAATTTTTTGCTAATAATTTTTTTTTACTTCTAATTTATTTTTAATTATTTTATTAATATTATATGCTTGAATTAAGTAAAGATTTATTTAATTTAAAATTTGTATTTATAATGATAAATCAATATAAAATAAATATATTATGAAATATAAATAATAATTTAAGTATAAAAAAAACTCTATTTCTGATATTATTAATAAATATTTATTTTTATTATATTATGACTAAAACACTTTTAATTTAATTAAAAAATTATTAATTTTTAATTTTTTTATTTAAATTAAAATGAAAATCTAAAGAAAAAAATATTTAAAAAAATACTTTTTATTTCAATAAAAAAAAAATAATATGAAATATTTTTATGTATATATAAAAAAAAATTATTTGTTTTCATATTATAGTTATTTTGTTAATTTTAAACTAATCAAAGCTTAGTTTTATGTTTTTCTAATAAAGTACTATCATCAATTATCATATTAATAACATACTCAAATTTTTAATCCGAAAAGACCTTAGAAATTTATAAATAATCTTCAAATTCTCCTCCCAAAATATTGGAAATTTCTTTGGCAACTTGGATATGATTTTAGGTATATTTTTAAGCAATTTTTTTTTATTTTTCTTCTTTTACTTTTTTTAATTATACCTATTTTTCAATTATTTTTCTTTCTTCTTCTTCTTTTTTCAATCTTTCTTCTTCTTCTTTTCTCAATCTTTCTATTTCTTCTTTTCTTAATCTTTCTTCTTCTTCTTTTCTCAACCTTTCTTCTTCTTCTTTTCTTAATCTTTCCTCTTCTTCTCTTCTTTATTTTTCTTATTCTTCTCTTTATATTTTTTCTTATTCTTTTCTTTATTTTTCTAATTCCTCTTTCTATTTTCTTAAATTTTCTTTTTCTTCATTTCTTAATCTTTCTTCTTCTTATTATTTTATTTATTCAAGCATTTTTAATTCTTCATCATATTATAATCTCAAAAGTTCTTCTTATTCTAATTATTCAAAACAGCCATTTTCCTAAACAGAAACATTCTAGTTAGAATTAATCAACAAATTTTCAATAATATCCTAAATGCAATCACTTGAATCTAAATTCTTAATCATATTAATATAATCCTAGAAACTTCCTCCCATAATCTCAGCTACCTACATAGCTTTTTACATAAGAGAATCATTAATCTTATCTTAATTAACCAAAGAACCTTATGATGTTTCAAATTCTTAAGGAGTAGATGTACTAGATCCTTATTTTTTAAACTAAAGGGCATATTCAATGATTTCTTCGATTTTTTTTCCCTTCATTTAATTACATAAGTCTGAGTATTCATCAGATTTTCCACCTACGACTTAGGCGACTATTTATGAATTATTTTCAACTTCTAAGTCTTTAATTTTTTAAGGATTATGTTCTTAGGTTTCTTTTACTTATTTTTTTAGGTCTTATTTAAGTTCTTTTTTTTCTTTTTTTTCTTGTTCTTTTTTTACTTTTTTTACTTTTTTTTCATTTTCTTTTTCTTTTTTTTATTTTTCTATTTCTTTTTTTTCTTTTTCAACCAATTTTTATTATCTCAATTTTTCTTTTGCTTATTTTTTTTAGAATTTTTTAATTTCGCTCTAAATGTTTATATCAACCACAGATTATCCATTAGAAAATTATTAATTCAAAAATTATAAAGACTATTCATCAACATCTAAACTTACAAATACTTTAGGAGCTTATTCTGGATTTTTTATTTTTATAAAAGCATGATGGTTATGTATTTCCTTAGCCTCACATTTTTCACATAAATCATAATCAGGACATACATAGCATTTATATCTGACACCTAATATAGGGTTAGTTTCACATCCATCACATGTAAATCCACTATGAATAGCTTATTTTTCAAGTATAATGGACTTTTCTAAAGCTTTCTGTTCATCAGTAGGTTACTTTTATTCTTTATTTTTTTCCTATAGCTCGTTTTTTATTTATTAGATAATTTTAGGGATCTATTATTTTATTTCCATATTAACTATTTCTTTTATGAGTTTAGTTCTTTTTTGTGTTTTTTTGATTTTTTTTTCTTTCTTCTCATCATCAGAAGATGAAGGTTAGATAATTTATTAGGAATTTTTTTAATTATTTATTTCATTAACTATAATACTTATTACTGTTATGGATAATTTTTAGCAATTTTCTTTTATTTTTTCAAGATTTTCGTTAGATTAAATTATTTTTTCATCTAATGATGGGTCTGTGAGTATTAATTATATCTATTATTAACTAGTTAATTTTAATTAGTTTTTAATTTATTATTCTAATTATTCAAAGCTTTCTAATTCGCTTTTTAACAGTATTGTTTTGAAAAAATATTTGATTTTTATAAGCATTTTTTTATATAAATTTTTTTATTTTTTTTAAATATATATAATATAATTAAAAATAATTTATTCTATTTATATATAATTTTTTTTTTTATATTTCCCTCTATTATATTATTAGAATTTTTATATATAATATATTATTAATTTTTCTATTTTATTATTAGCCTATAATTTAATATAATATTTTCATATAAATTATTTTGTTTTTTTATATTTAAGAATAGAGAACAAATTTCAATTATAAAATGAATAAAAAAATAAGTTATATTAAAATATTTATATATAAAAACTTAACGTAAATCTACAAATGTAAAAAATTTAATATAAATAATTTTATCAAATAATGTAAAATTTAAATTAAAGAAGATAATGAATATACAAATTATAAAAATATATTTATTATATTATATTTTAATTTAATATAATATAATATAATATAATATAATATAATATAATATATAATATAAAATATAATATAATATATATAATTTATAATATTAATTATTAGACTTTTCAAAAAATTAATTTTTAAACAATTTTAAGAATCATAATTTTTTTAATGCATTTATTTAATATATTTTTAATTAAAAAAAATAATATTTAAATTATTATATTTCTATAAAGAAAATAATTTTTATTATTTTTAAAATTTTTTATGTTTTGTTTAGTTTGTTAAAAGCTTTTAGTTTTAAATATTTTATAAAATTTTATAATTAAAATAAAATAATCTTAATTGATTAAAACATGATAAAATTATTTTTTATAAACATCAAATTCATTTTATTTTACTTTATTTTTTATATATAATTATAAAATTAATTAATTAAAATTTACTTCTCGATTCTGATTATATTTAAAATATTTATAAAAGTGTTAAAAAAAAAAAAAAAAATAATAAAAAATTACATTATAGTTAAAATATAGAATTATATAAAAATATAATAATTCTTTTAAATAATTATTTGAATAAATATTTTTAACATATAATATTAAAAATAAAAATTATTTTAAAAAAAACAAAATATTATTTTAAAATAAATTTTATATAAATATTATATTAAAATTCAAAAAAAATTAGAAAAAATTAAACTTTTAAATTTGATTTATCAATATTTTATGAATTCATTTATAAATTTTTAAAAATACATATGCTTATAATAATTTTTTAATAAAATAATTATATATAAAAATATATATATGAAAATACATAAATATAGGTATAATTATATATTATTATTTTTATTTATAAATATATTAATAAATGCATACTAATATATATTTTTAAATTTTAATATCAATATATTAAGTGATTAATTATTATATAAAATTTTTTATCTATTAATTTTAAATATATTTTTATAATATTTATAATTATTATTTATGATTTTGAATAATATTGAATATTAAAAGGTATAATATATATTTATAATTTATTTTATTTACAAAATATAAATTATATTTATCATATTTTTTATACTATTTAATTCTATAAAATTTTAAAATTTTAATTTACGATATTCATTTAGTTGGAAAAAATAAATATATAGTTTATTAATAAATAGAATAAATAAAATAGAAGTGTATATAACTTATTAAATACATACATATACATATATTTAAAGAAAAAAATATTAAAAAAATTTTTAAAAAAGTAAAAAAAGAAGTTAATTTATTGAAAAGAATATAAAACAAAATAATAAAAATATATATAATTATAAAATTAAAAATTAAATAGTAAAAATAAAGCTTTAGTAAATATTAAGTGTATTTAAAAAGACAAAAATATAAATAAATCGATTATATTATAATTTAAAAAATAAAAAAAAATTAAAAAAACTTAAATAAAAGAAAAACAATAAAATAAAATAATAAGAATTAAAAATTTAAAATAAAAAAAAAATTAAATAATAATAATAATAATTTTTTAAAAAAATTTAAAATTAATATTATATAATTAGTAATTGATTTAATATAATTATAAAAAAAATATTGATAGTTATAGTTAAAAGAAATATTTATAAAATAGAAATAATAAAAAATAAAAATAAAATATTATAAGTAAAATTAAAAAAAGAAAAACAAAATAAAAAATAAAAATTAAAATTAAATTAAAA